ACGAAGTCCGGTTCACAGAGTCTCGTGGGCAGAATAAGGTTGTCTGTGCAAGAGAGAAACCTAGAGCCACTGGTCAGACTCAGGATGAACGAGCGTGGAAAGGTTCAAGGGGGCCAGTCAGAGGTATTTGTGGCAGTGGGAGCTCAAGAGGCGCTTCAGCCAAGTTGCCTAGAAGACAGTGGGTCAGGAGAACCACTACTATTCCAGCTGTTGGAACATCTCTAGAAAATTTCTTGCTGAGTATGGAGAGTGTTTGTTCTCAAGATGTTCCAGGATCCGGCAGTGTGCGTCTGCAGTGGGAGCCGGTAGGGACCGAGGACGAGTCAGGGGCAGATTTTGCCGTGACTGATGTGTTGGAGCTTGGGAGAGCTTCAACGGGCCTTTCAGTTGTCTGATGTTAGGGCCGCTGCAATAGGAGAGCTGAGGAAGATTACTCGATGTACAGGGAATCGTGGTGGATGGCAGTTGATGGCTATCAAGCCTCCAAGTGGGAGAATGTTGGGTTTGTGGAGGCTTGGGCTTGACTTTTGGCCCGGCCCATTTTACGAAACCCTAGATGCACTCTTCCTATATATATTGCATACTTGTACTTGTAATCGACACCACAAGTGAAATAAGAAAATCCTCCTGTTGCAGCCGTGGATTAGGGAAACCGAACCACGTTAAAATTCTTGTGTGTCGTTTGTGTTCCGTTTCTCTCTTGATTCTCGCGGATATTTGTGTGTGTTGCGTGTTTAATCCCCAACAAGTACTCCTTCCATTTTATATTAACTGTATAATAAAACATCTTTCATACAGTATATTGTAATCTTTGAGGGTGGACTGACATTTGGGAGAAGTGTAAGTGCATTTCATTTTTTTTTCCCTACTTTTTTAGGGCAAAGTGAGATTTCCCCATGAGGATACTAATCCGGGTCAAATTCAAGAAAATGAATGGCGGAAGTATATGCATTTTCCTACTTTTTTAGGGCAAAGTGAGATTTCCCCATGAGGATACTAATCCGGGTCAAATTCAAGAAAATGAATGGCGGAAGTATATGCATATTGCAATGCAAACAGAAACTGATTCCAACAAAATAGTTGCAGTTTATTTTCCACACCTCAATTTACCTTTCCAAACAACATTTCAACAGAGGGTCGAAATTGAAACAACACATTCTACATTGGACCTTTTTTAGCATATCTTCCTGGAAAATCTACTGGGGATTAGCCTCCCTCGGCGGGGGACATCCCAACTGCTCAAGAAACTTACTGAGACGCATGTGTTTGGATGCCCATTGCTCGGTCAATTTCTGCTCCTTTGCTTCGGCGTCCCTCCTCAAAACAGCCAGCTGTTCTCTATATTTGCCTTCAATCCTGTCCAGAGCAATCCTCTGTTCTTCCAGCAATGCTTTGATCTTCGAATCGATTTCCTCCCTCTTCTCTCTGATTTTGGACGCCTTCTCTGATTCCAGTTGCAATTCCACCCTCTTCAACCTCCAGGCTGCTTCTTTTTTATGCGCCGTCCAAGCGTGGTGCCCTTCTCCCACGTTTCTACAGCATTCTAAAAGTTCAGCGACCAATGGGTTGCTGTCTGGGTGATGAGCTGGAAACCCGGTGGGCATTCTGTCGGACTGTAGCCATGGGATTGCAGGAGAGGGTTGCTGTGAGGTGGATGGGCAAAGACTCAAGGCAACTGATGGGGTTGGGGGTCTAACTGCAGATGAGGTGGTTGGATTAGACAGCCAAGGAGGAAGAAGGTTTTGTGGATCAGACTGGAGGAATCCACTTCCTCTTGAACTACTAGCCATTATCAAGTTAAGGGTTCCTTTTTTTTGGCTCCTGGTTTAAGGTAGTTTTTTCGCCTCTCCAAACAGGACCTTGGTTAGTGTCTAAAGTTGGGTGTGGTGCTCATATGCTGGGGCACAAGAGCGACATCCCTTCGGCCCAATCTGTTTCACATGTGCGCACAATCTTCAAAATGATTTCCCACAAACAATATACATATGGAATGAGCAGGAGATTTCATGATACTCTGGCTTCAATTACTTGAATAAACAGAATCTAAACCTCTAGAGAGACTTTCAATTACCCAAAAACAGAATTTTCACAAGTCAAAATGTCACGAATGCCGTTTCAAGATGGAAAACTACAATCATAGAAGGTTAAACACATGAGAACCAATGTAGCAATTGCATGCTTATAGAAACAAAAAATGTCCTAATTTAAAAAGTTCATTTCAACCAAGTGTTTCTAAATGCACAGTCAAATCATTACCAATAAAGGATCTTCAACATATTAGTAATAGAGAAGAAAATGGAAAGATCCTTGATTTTAGATAAGAAAATTGCACATTCTGCTTGCTTGCTGCTTAATACTGTAATCTTCTTGCTCAGCTCATAACTCATAAGCTACTTATATGAATTTTTTCTAAAACTGTAATTTGACTAATTAGTTAAACATAGAAGTTACTAAGAACTTGCACATAACAAAAGGAAAGCTGTAATTATTTACTGAAAAGAGGATGATAACATTGCAATTTGCCTTGCAAGTGCTATAAACCCAGGGAAATGGACTACGTTGGTGGCAGATTAGGATTAAAGGTTGAAAAGATCTTTTAACCAAGCCTGGAAAGTAAAATAAGAAGAAGCTCCATTAATGGTGGACTACACAAACCTATCGAGAAGCTGATAACAACAGGTCGAGACCCAAACCTGAGTTTTTTTTTTCGTTGCTCGAACCTGCACCTGTCTCGCTGCCTCGCTAAACGCCGTTCGCCACCGTCCTCCGTCGCCGTGCCTCGCCGGGTCGGCCACTGATTAAATTCCTCTATCCATCCTTGATTGAGCTGAGATCTTCGAATGCTTAGGGTTTAAGAGCTTACTGGCCTTTTTGAATGACAAGAGATTACTGAATTACTGGGCATGTACAGATCTGGTAGGATCTTTTATAGGGAGTAATTTTGACATTAGTCAGCTGTTCACGCCAGTTCATATTTCCTTCCTCCCTCAATGATTCTTTAACATCTTTTAATCACAAATTAAATATAATTTAAAATAATTAAATATTATAAAATATTGATATTTCAAAATTACATTTTAAAATAAATTTAATTTTACTAAATTTACATTATAAGTAAATATACTTTTTTCATAACTTATAGTCAAAAGGTGCCACAATATGACTAAAAAAACAAACTGTGGTAATTTTTTAGGGACGATAGAAGTATGGCTTTGAGATTAATCTTACAACATGGTCGAGTCTCCAACAGAGCTCCGTTCGAAATATTATTTGTTTCTACTCCTAACCGCTCCCAAGTCCTAACCCCCCACCCCCTTCGCCGATTGGCTATAGTGACCAATGTAGTCAATTCGTGAAAGGGAGGAGGATTAGAATGTAATTATAAGAACCATCAATTTTACCAACAGAGTCCCGTAGAAGACTCGGGTCATGTTATGACATAGGAAGACAATCTGACATGACACGTGATGCTAAAATATAATGATTCCTACTTTTCTAGTCACTCAAAAGTCCGAAGTCCTATGAGTGCAGGGTAGAGATGACAACGGTTGAGTTTAGTTCGGTCATTATTATATTCGAACGTGACCTGACATAAATTGGATTTGGGTTTGATTTAGGTGGGTCGGATTTAGGTATATTTTTTGGTTTAAGGTTTGATCGAACTAGTTACGGTTAAATTGGGGTCGGAAATTTATCCATGTTAATTATTCAAAAATTTCAATATTTTTATTGGTTAATTCAAATGTATTTGTCAAGTAATTTGTGATTTATCAAATATGATCCAAAATAAAAATGTCAAAAAAGTATGAGTTTATTTCAATTAGTTTTTTTCCACCCTTTTAACACCAGTGCAATGACCAACCATTTTATTATCAATTATTAACACATAAACATGAATGAATTTGTATTGCACTCACTTTCTTGTTATTTGATTTGGAATAGTATGGTTTCTCTTACTGTTATGTGATTCATAGTTGAACATTTGGAGATTTCTTCAACGTGAAGACATTTTAAGGGGACCAATGGATATGATAATGTTTTGAGAATGAATTCAGTTCAAATTGATTCGAAGCGTGCGTTTCCCTCAAGAAGCAGCAGCGGTAAACTTTAAACAATAACGCATATATATGGGATGAAGAAGCTAATTGAGAACCATTCATCAATTGAAAATTGTATTGTATGAAGTATATATATAATGAATTTGTTTACTTATATGGATAATTCTAATGTACCGTCATCGATTGGTTAACTTGATTATAATAAACTTAGTTAACTTGATTAGTAGAAGTAGATTAAAAAAATAAAATTGATATATTTAAAAATATTTTGAAAAATCCATAAAATAAGAGATGTCTTTATTTGTTCATATATTTTGATTTTTGTCTAACATTTTCCAAAAATATTCAAATGAACTTTGTTCATAACACGTACTCCCGATTAGTATTAATTCTATTTTTAAGCATTTGACTCAAAGTTATAACATTATTTTTTAAAGTTTAAACAAAAAAAGAAATCTTTCCAAAAAAAATTACCGAGTATTCTTTTAGTTACGGAGTATATACTAGTTTTAACATGTAATAAAAAACATTTGTGTTCAATTGGTGGGGATATCAAAGTTATAACATTATTTTCTAACTAACCGTCTAAGATTTGAATATAATTAGTGGCATGGTACAAAATTTTTGACCAATTTTTGCAAGAAAAAAAAAACAAAAAACTATTTTAGCTCGTTCTTACTCGTTCGCAGCACAAAGCGGTCCAAGAGGCTTGATTCCTGTTCTGAACTAGCTAGCCGATCTAATTCGGTTTCAAGAGTATGGAATAAAGTATTTGGAGACTTACAAAATAAATAAAAACGGGAAACTAAGTTTGAAATCCCAAATGCTATGCTAAGTACTCCCTCCGTTCTCAAAAACACTTCCTCTTTCATTTTTTCCACTTCCAACAAAACACTTCACTTTTCTATTAAAAACCCACTTTTACCCTTACTTTTTCATACCCTACCTATCACATCATACTTTTTCTCTAATAATCTATCCATCACATCTTACTTTTACTCATCACATCAGAGGCAAAATTGGAAATCAATTATAATTTAACACTTCCTTATTTTTGCCCCAAATCAAAATGGGAAGGGTTTTTCCAAACGGATGGAATATATGGTAATGTTTTTTTTGGGTAGGCAAGAAGTGGGTGCGCAGGAGGTCATACGTATCCAAGTTTGAATCCTGACAACTGCGTTAGGAAACAATTATGCTAAGCATAGAATGTCTATACATATTAGGTGAATGTACCCTATTTGTCATCAATGTACACTTAAAACCCAATTTACATCATCTCAGGTAGACCTGACAAAATAGAACCGGAATCAATTACCCGAACCGAATTATCCAAAATCGTAACCGAAATTATCTGGAAAATGAAGATCTGATCTGTAACCGAAAACCCGAAATGATCCGAATCGAACCAAAACCGAACTAAATATTTCATATCCAATTTAAATCCGAAATCGATTAGATCCGAAACCGATAACATCCAAACCGATTAGATCCGAAACCGATAATAATCGAAACCGATAAAATCCAAAGTCGATTAGATCCGAAACCGATAATATCTGAACCCGATTAGAGCTAAAACCGATAAATTCGAAACTGTGTTTGCCTTTCAATAAGCATATTATATTTTTAAATTTTTACTTTTATTTTACCATTTCAATTAATTAAATTACTTGCTCATTCCCTCATAAAATGGATTATCATCTTGAAAATAATTGCAAAATCTCATGCCTTAAATTTATTATATTCAGAAATTGAAGATAAGTTATACATATAAAATTTTGGATGAATGAAGCAAGCCAACTATTTTGTTAATAACGAAATTAAAAGGAATAAAATATTTGAAAAAACAAGGTGAAGCATCAATTGAAAAAAAGTAGGTCTAAGAGTTGATCGAAGATGAATGGAAATTGAGAAATGAATTGAATGGTGGCATAAGAAAATTGATAAGATTAAGTATGAAAAGTAAAAAGGAATGGGTGAAATTTTGAGCATAAGAAAATTGATAAAAAATTAAGTCTTTGGATTAGATATTATATGAAAAATACAGTACTAATTTTAGTCTTAAGTTACAAAATCTAACTAAAACAATCTTATTTTGAAGAAAAAAACTCCCTCCATCTTAGAAAGAATGCTACATAATGCAAAACAAAGCAAAAAGTTCAAGTTTTTAAAATGTATTTTATTTAAAGATTGGTATAGAAATAAAAAAAATGTCTACATATTTAAAAAATACATAAAAAATTTACAAAATAAGATGTTACAAGAATAATAATTTATTTTATCAAATAATAAATGATAATGCACAAACAAATAAAATTTCTGTAATTTTTAAATAGTGAGGTGTGATATTCTTTTTGGGACGAAAGAGTTATAAGATAAATTGTATGGAATAACTAGATTTTATCCTAATTTCATCCAATTACAATAAGTTTTATTGGTTTGGGAGTTAATTTGATTAATTTCAAACCAATTCACTCAATATTAGTCAATAACATTAGATGTTAGTGTTAGCATTTTAGAAAGACTCTCTAGTAGCAGTATTTAATGTTATCATTTTAAAATTTGATCTACACCATTACATTTAGATATAAATTAATTATATTTGACTCTATTAAATTTAATTTTACCTAATTTCAACCAAATACACTCAAATAGTTTATAAATTTTGCATTCAATTGAATAAAATTCACTTAATTTCACCCAATCTCACTCATTTTTTACCAAATTGTATTTAGTTAGAACGTAACACTATTTGAATTTATCTTTTATCTTTTCATTTATAAACATAAATATATTAGTAGATGTGAAAAATTTTGATATATCAAAACTAAATTTTAAAATCAATTTAATTATATTAAATTTATATTGTAATTAAGAATATATATTTTTCATAATTTGTAGTCCAAATTTGTAAAATATGACTAAGAAGTCAAAAAGGGAAGATTATTTAGGGTAGAGATAATATAATTAGAAAAAAATATAAAATAATATGAGGTATTGAATTGATGATAGATTGATAAATGTGATAAAACATAAAAAGAAACATGAATAATTAAATTTTAATTAGAAAATAATATATATCCAAAATATATTTGATCCGAAACCAAAATATATATCCAAACCGAAATAGATCCGAAACTGAAATATATCTGGTTCAAATTGTATCCGAACCAAAATATATCCGAACCGATTTATAACTGAACTGTATCTGAACCGACTCGAAACCGAATCAAACCAAAAAATGTATAGAACCGAATCAAATCCGAACTGAAATTAAATCGATCTGTCAAACCGATTATAACATATATCCGAACCAAAAAAATCTAACTCAAAACCGATCTGGTTGACCTGATTGCCACCTCTAATCTCAGGTGATTGTTCGATCAATTTTGAGGGACGAGTTCATTCTTTTTTTCCAAATGCTAAGGGAAATTAAAAGCCTCGAAAAATTAATGTTATAAATGTTGGAGACCCTTTGAAAATATAGTCATCGACATCTAAAATCTTTGTCTCAAACAATCAAATTTTTTTATGAAAAACCAAAAGAGTAATTTACCTAAATAGGACTAAAACATAATGTCTTTCTCAATATAGGACCATATGTTTTTATTTTCTAATGTAGGACCATTGATCATTATTCAACTAAATCTCCAGCATCACTTGGACATTATTCTTCTCACTAGTCATTATTAAGTCCTATTTAGAGAATAAAAAAATTTATGTTCTACATTGGGAAATGACTTATGTTTTAGTCATATTCAGTGCAAACTTCACAAAACCAGATCCTTTTCTCTAAGCACATGCCCAATTAGTTTATTAATTTCATGAATGCTCCCCTCCTAAAACTACAATCGTGATCGTGCGTAGAGGTTGTATAAACTTACAACAGGCCTAGGAGAACTGTAAAATTTATAGAACGAATTGCTTGCCTTTCAATTGATATGTCAGTCACATATATAGTACATCAAGCTAACTAATTTAATATTTTCTTACTTTTTTGATATAGGACATCTCAAGCGTACTTCTCCGACAAACCTTAGTACTCCTATTTTAATTTTTTTTTACTTTTTTGTTATTATCCAGAAAGATTTCTTTTTTATTAAATAAGTATCAAAAATAGAGTAACAAAGTAAATAAATTCGACTTTATGATTAGTGATCGGAAAAATTACGGATGAAGTATAATAGAAGAAGTGATTTACATAGTAGTAAGTCAACCAACCCTTTCATGTATTAGACATGAAATTGCTCATAGGTACGCACAGAGAGTGGTACGAAAATGGAAACAAATGTTTGGTACGTAATGTTAGAAATGTTTCCCCTGTTTGAAGTCACATTTTTATTGCCCAACACACCCACCCATTAAACTCCACTACTTCCCTCCTCTAATTTTGGCCGACACTGTGTGTGTCTTTTTGTATTGCACTCTTACAAATCGCAATGTTTTCAATGCAACATACTATTTGTCCATCCCATGTTTCTATAATCTTTTTATTCATAATAATGGTTTAAATTTATTACTCCCATTTTTCCAATAAAATAAATGTTTATATGTAAATCAATATATAAAATAATTTTTTTTTAAATAAATAAATTTTATAATTAGAACTTTTACCTTACAATATATACTCCCTAAGTTTTAAATTAGAATTCTCATTTACTTTTTCATTAAGTTTGAAGAAATAAATATGTTTGGTTGTGATTGATCGATGCAAAGTATAGCGATAGCATTGATATACTCCCTCCGTCCTAGAGTATTTATTCAGTTTGACTTTTTCGAGTCAAAATGGACAAACTTTAAACTTCAATTAAATAAAACCGTAAAGTATTTTAATATAAAAATGACTTTATTAGATTTATCGTATTGAAAACTTTCAAAATTGTATTTCATTATGCTAATATGTAATACAAATTGAGAGTAATTGGAGTTCAAAGTTTGTCCAGTTTGACTTAAAAAATTCCTCCCCGAAAAGGTTTCCCTTATTGACTTTTTGGTAAATTAAGAGAGAATATTTTTGTGTTAACTTTCCCAAAATATCTTTGATGTTATGGGTAAAGAAAGTATGATAGGTAGGGTATGAAAAAGTAAGAGGTAGTAAATGTGGTTTTTTATTAGATAAGAGAACATCTTTTAGGGACAACAAAAAATGAAAGTGAAAGATCTTTGAGAGAGAGGATGTAGTTTGTTAATGTGAACCATCCATTTCATTTCTTAAAAAGAATGAAAAATTTATTTAGGAACAAAAACTTATTTTAAGACGTAGAAAGTATTTAATAGAACATGAAATCTGATAGAGAATATTATTACCTCATATTCATTCCGTTCAAAAAAAAGAATTACACTTTAATTTTTATTATTCAAAAATTACAAAAACTTTTGTTTGTTTATATATTTTGATTGATTATTTGATAAGATTAAATATTTATATCAACTATTATTGAGTAAAACTTTTGACATATATTGTTTTTATATGTAAATTTTATTTTTAATTTATATACCAATTCTTAAATAAAATTGATTTAGGAAACTTAAATTTTTGCTCCGTTTTACAAAAAGTGTAAAATAAATTGGGATAGAGGGAGTATATTTTACATATGTATTAGAATATGAAATTCCTTAAAGACTATTATTTCTACTCCCTATTCCGTAACAAAATACTCTCTCCGTCCCATAAAACTTTTCTCCTTTCTTTTCTTATCCGTCCCAAAAAATACTTCTCATTTCTATTAAAAAGTCACTTTTACCCTTTACTTTTTCATACTCTACGTATCACATCACACCTTTTTACTAATAATCTATCCATCAAAGGACATTTTTGGAAATTCAATACCAAAATACACTCCCTTTAAATCCCTCTCCAAAACCAAAACTTACATGTTTTCCGGGACGGAAGGAGTATAAAAAGATAAGATTCTATTTTGGCCAAGGATTCTAAAACTCTCGATTCTTGTTCGCATTTCATTTGAGAAAAGGGTGGACATCAAATAGTATAAGAAAGATACTATGAGTAAATTGAAAGAATAAATATCAATGTGTATAGATTTATCAATTGTCAAAGATTCCTTTATGTCTTTGACTTTACACTTTTTTTTTAATATGAAACTAATCTTGGGATTTTCTTTTGGATCACCGGCAAAGAGCTCAAGACCTCACAATTGTTCCTAGCCAACACACTTTTTGCCCAAGAATAACCCTTTTTATCTTCTTCCAAAACTTGAAGCACACTCTTATATGGGTTCTCAAATTCTTTTTTCACTCAACCATTTGATTGTTACTCATGCTACTTAATTTTGTTCCAATAGAAAATGATAAATAGTCATCTAACAATTTCCCGTGAATCACTTTGAACAAGTATGATCGTATATCCTTTTCTCACATTGTTGATATTTACAGTCTACAGAGTATTAAGAATCGAGAAAAAATGATAAAAATAATAGACATATTTTCAAAACTGACGGTAGTGATATATAAATTTAATTTTGGAATCTTTGAAAAAAGAAATGCATAACTTAACTATGGAATCAAGACTAGAAAAATGAAAAAGACTATTTCATTCATGTAATACTTGGTAATTTCATTGCATATAGTATTAACTTTCTGGAGATACTAGTAATTAAAGAGAGCTGCGGGCTACATCGCAAATACTACTACTTTGCCATTCCTGCAGCCGCTTCAGTCCCTACTTCCATTTTCCCGGGATAAAAAAAAGGGGCGGGGAGAAAACACTAAAGGCCAAGAAAAACAGTGGCAAAAGGTTAAATAACTAAAAATATTGGGTAAAGTTTGGAGACTTCGGAATTCTCCGGGGTCGGCAGAGCATTTTGAGAGAGTGCCGGGGAGGGATTTTCTAAACTCGGAAATTCTTGCCCTGGAAGGTCTGCCCGAACTGCCAGCCCGGAGGTGCCACGTTAAACGACGTCACTTGGCGACGGTCGCTGGCTCGGACCCTGAATGAGAGCGACTGGCCCACTAAAAGTGCGCTGGTTTGCCAATTTTGCCCCCAGTTCCTGGACAGCGAGATCCATTGGGTCTTGGATCCCTTCACCCATACTTTGTGGATGTCGCCCGCACCCGCCACGTTGGTCACCAAAACCAGGTTGAAGTAACGGAATCCGTTCACCGTAAACCGGATACCGCCATGCTTTCTACATGAAACCCTGGAAAAAAAAGAAAAGAAAATGGAGTAAATTAAAAGCGGGGCCCGCACGGGAAACGAGGAACGGTTTGTGGCGTAGATTACCATTATACCCTCGACAACGCCATATCGGACATTTCATATCGGAGGAATAAAAAATAAAAAATATTCCGTTTTCAGATCTTTCCTTTATTTTCACGGTGAAAGTTCGAAGCGAATTACCGGCGGAAATTGACGGGGACGATGCCGGCGCGGTAGGCGGCGATTTTGAGAAACATCGGCATGGCGAGGTCGAAGTGAAGGCGGGGAGGGTTGCACCAGCCGCCGTTGTCGTTGGGGAGGGCGAAGTTCGGGGGGCAGAAGTTGGTGGCGGTGACGAAGATGGAGGGGTTGCCCTCGCTGCAAGATCTGTCGTTTGTGCACTTGATCTCGAAGCAGGATCCGCAGCTCAGGCCGTCGTTGAACAGAGCAGTGCTTAGCGCCGCATTGTTTAAGCCGTAGCCTTGGCTGTACAGGTTTCCGTAACCACACGCGCCGCCTACCGGATTTAAAAATTACAGATCAGGCGAGTTTGCCATGAAACCGCATCGCTAATGTACGTTTAAGAGATGAATATGTCAGCGATAAATGAAAACAGAAAAAAAAATAAAGAGAGCGTACCCATGGTGCCGGATGCGTCGGCGCCGCCGTAAAAGGTCGCGTGGGCACTCTGCCATGGGCCGCCGGTGTAGACGCCGGGGATTCTAGCGTGAACGGATGCGACGGAACAGAGGAGAAGGGTGAAGGAGATGACTTGCTTTGCTACCATTTTCGCAGTGGGTCTATGTGTGTGGCTTGCAGAGAGAAATGGAGGGTCTGTAGGCCGGGGAGAGTGAGAGCCGGAGAGGGGTGATTTCGGGAGGCGAATTTAAAGGGCGGTGGAACGAGTCTAGGGATCGTTTGGAGTTGAAAGCAAAATTTTCCCTTATACCGAGCACGGAGTAGTCGGGTGCCCTCGATTTTGTGATAAAAACTCACAGGTCCCATCTTTTTAAAAAATATTCTCCGGGATACCTTTAATTATTCGAAAACTAACTCCGGGGAGACTTTCCGTCCTTCCCTTCGTCAAATTCATTTTCTCCGTTAACTTTTCATCATTTTCTTTCTAAAAATTGTTGTTAGATACCTCCAATTTTACAAAAATAACTTTAAGGTCCCATCATTTTTAAAAATATACTCCGGAGTATCCTAAAATATCCAAAAAGTTACTATGGAGGGTTTTCCTTTTTTCCTATTATTATTATTATTATTATTCTAGTGCGTGTAGCGAAAATCCAATGCAACACAATAGGCAATGCGGCAGCGAGTTACAACTGCGGAAGATAATAATAATAATACTCTGTAATAAAAGTAACATTAGTAATAGTAATAATAATAATAACAATCACAATAATAATAATAATAATAATCTCAGAATAAGAATAAGAATTGATGGGAAATAATACGTGGCTCGGCCCACATTTCCCAATTATTTACGAAGAACAGTCAAACCGGACTTGTTTAAAAAAATGGAGGAATAAGAGAATATTCCCCGAATATGCTTCCCCTCCTCCCCTATAAAAGGAAGACTCCCCCTCAATGTTAGAGAAGACCAGTTTTTACACTCTCCCCTGCCCACTTCCCCTCTCTCTAGAATAGTGTGTATTTTGCTTCTTCTTCAAGAGCTCAAAAGCTCCATTAATGGCTTCTACACCTAAATTATGTACCGTGTACACACCCCCGATATTAATAAAAATCCCCCGTTGGCAAGGTACCGCCAAAAAAGGCCCGTGGTTTTTCTCCCGATTTGGGTTTCCACGTCAAAATCCTCGTGTTTATATTTTGGTGTATTTTTAGACTAGTTTATCGTTTTAGCCGGGCTAAAAACGGTATACCGGTCGATAATTTACACCATCATTTTGGCGCCGACCGTGGGACCCGAACAAAAAGCTCCATTTTTGTTTGCCCATCTTGCACAACCTAAAGAGTCATAGTTGCAAAAAGGAAGAGGGAGACGAGGGTCACGAGGCTTTGGAGTGTCAAAAAGAAAGAATCTAGAAAAAGGGAGTATTATCTTTGGAACACAGAACATGTGTTTTGGTCCTGGAGTTTTGCAAGAAGAAGAAAAAGGGTGGTGTCTTTTCGCATACTGGCACCACAATTTCTTACTCCGTACTATGCGGCTGTAGAACTTCTTTGCCCTCTTCATCGGCGAGGGTTACATGTAACCGACGAGTTCAACCGGTAATCCAAGCAAGGCTGCGATTCTGACGAGGCTCACTTCTCTGGTGGTCGACGACAGCAAAATACTCGGTGGCTTCGGCTGGAGTTTCCAGGCGGAGCACGGCAGGATCAGACCTGATTTTGCAAGAAATTGATGCACAAGTTCCCCATCCAGAAGGGCTGGCAGCGGCGAATACAGCGCCTGAGCGCCGGGTAGGGGCATATCGGAATTCGGAACCGGCAGCGGTTCGTGCGGCGGAGCAGGCATCGTCGAGCTCCAATGATGAAGCGCCGGGGAAGTCCACTGCGTCCGGTGGATCGAGATCGCGGCCGCCTACAGAAACAACATCCATTGTGGCCACATAATTCCGCCACTATTGTCTCTCAGATCTGACATCGCACCTATAGCAAAGAGCAAACCCGCGCCCTTGGCCGCCAACCCCACCGGCAATTGTATCTAGGTGCGGGCGGCCCATTGACTACCACAAACAAAGATGAAGGTGTCCCCGGCTGTCCTTCTATTCCGCCTCCTTTTCGACGACCAGAAATTGTATTTCTATATGGGCAGCTATGGGATTGTGTGGGCAGACATGGTGATAGCCGCGGTGGTGGTGTCAACGTCGACGGCAATAGATTCCCAGACTAATCTTCCACCGTGTGCCTCGGATCTGGTCCCCTACACCAATTTCCTGAACTCCACCAATCCGCGGTCGTCTGCTGTGCTCTAGTGCCTCTGCAACTTGTTTAACCGACAAATCGTTGTTCAAATTCCTCGGAATCAATGTCATGCAGGCCGTAAAACTCCCTGGCACTTGTGGAATCAAAGGCTACCACAACGCCTGCAACACTTCGTCCCTGGCTCCCCGACCAGTTTCCTTGACACTGCCGGCTCCGGCTGCTGAAGTTTTCATGGCCGCTGTCGAAAAAGCATGTCTTCCCCGGCATGAGCATTGATTTTGTGGCCATCTCTGCTAAGGTCTCCTCACCATCTCCACTGGAAAAGCTTCACATACCTACCGCCACCACCCCGATGTGTCTTGTTAGCGTTTTCCGCCACTTTGTGGCTAAAAGACCCTGGTGGTGTGCACACCGCTGGTTCCATTTTTGTTACTGTCGGGTGCCGTCTTTGACCGCTCACCGCTAGAGGATTCATATTGATGATGCCCTCGAAGTCCGTCATCATCGCCACCACTGAGGTCTCCATTTCCACTAGTCTTAAAGTCTGTCATTGCTAGGGAAGATTCAAAGAAGAAATGTAAATTCGGGTCCATTCTCAAAAGTGGAAGGCACTATGTTGGACTTTAAGTGAAAGACACATGAGAAGGGACCGGAAGATTCGAAGGCATCAAAAAGAAAACCAGAAAAGAATACAAAGTGATGAGCCATATGCAAGAATACAAAGTGGAGAGATGCGGGGGACATCTTATCAATTATTATGTTGATGAGATATCCATGTGCATTGAGCATCACGAGAAGAGGGAAAATTAAGCCCCCACTTGTTTATCATGGCCCCACCACTAATAAGAGGCCTTCTTACATTGCACCAATCATGATGGAGCAATAATTTGGGTATTTGTACATACCATTTGGAAGAATTCAGAAGGAAGACTGAGACACAAGCCGAGCTTGGTACGCTGGTTACTACACCGGTCTTGCTCAGTATTTAAAAAAAAGAGGAAGACTGAGACACAGGCCCGGCCTGGCACGCTGGTTACTACACCGGTCTTGCTCAGTATAATAAAAAATATTAAAATATGTGACACAGGCCCGGCCTGGCACGCTGGTAAATATCATTCTTGTGCGCGAGATAGGCCAAGAATGATATACACACCGGTCTTGCACATATTTTCTCGTAAGTCTGACCCCAATCGAATTGGGTACACCGGTGGCTCAGCTGAGCCCTTATCGGGGACGCCCAATTCTTCAGGCCCTTTGAACAATGCACTTCGGAAGTGGTCTCTACATGACATGAGGATATTTGCATCAGTTAGCCGGGCTAATATCGATTTTCGACAAAGTTGCTGCAACATACTTAATTCGTATTAAGTAACATCGATTACTTCGATATACTAATTTCGCTATGTATTATTTACTTAATCCGTACTAACATCGGTCTCGACGAAATAACTACTTGAAGCACCGCCGCTTCATCGTACTAACTCTGGTGTCGTATAACTACTCAAAGCATTGTTGCTTTATCGAACTGACATCGCTCTTGTTACGATAATTATTCACGTGAATTTTAACCACCCTAACACCGAGCTCCTCAGTAAAGATAATAATTTTTTGAGCACGGCATAGGCCTGTCAAAATTTTTTTTGTTGTACATATTATTTTTTGCAGGAAAAACTTCTGATTGAAGAAATAAAAGAATTAATGAAGACTCGGAGGACTAGCAATAATATCAACTGGCCAAGAATCCAAAGTACGAAGACTGAAGATTACACTCGGAGGACTTATTTACTTTTTTAAGTTGATGATTCTCACAACTTAAAAAAGTGGAGGACTTCTTGATGGGAAATAATACGTGGCTCGGCCCACATTTCCCAATTATTTACGAAGAACAGTCAAACCGGACTTGTTTAATAAAATGGAGGAATAAGAGAATATTCCCCGAATATGCTTCCCCTCCTCCCCTATAAAAGGAAGACTCCCCCTCAATGTTAGAGGAAGCCAGTTTTTACACTCTCCCCTGCCCACTTCCTTTCTCTCTCTAGAATAGTGTGTATTTTGCTTCTTCTTCAAGAGCTCAAAAGCTCCATTAATGGCCTCTACGCCTAAATTATGTACCGTGTACACACCCCCGATATTAATAAAAATCCCCCGTTGGCAAGGTACCGCCAAAAAAGGTCCGTGGTTTTCTCCCGATTTGGGTTTCCACGTCAAAATCCTCGTGTTTATATTTTGGTGTATTTTTAGACTAGTTTATCGTTTTAGCCGGGCTAAAAACGGTATACCGGTCGATAATTTACACCATCAAGAATAATAATAATAATAATAATAATAATAATAATAATAATAATAATAATAATAATAATAATAATAATAAAGGAAAATTCTTCCAAAGCAAGTTTTTGGATATTTTAGGGTACCCGAAATATATATTTTTAGAAATGATGGGACCTGGAAGTTATTTCTACAAAATTGAGGGTACCTGACAACAATTTTTAGGAAGAAGAAGATGAAAAGTTAACGGAGATAATGAATTTGACGGAGGGATAGACGGAAAGTCTCCCCGGAGTTAGTTTTCAGATAATTAAAGGTACCTCGGAGTATATTTTTAAAAAAGATGGGACCTGTTAGTTCTTATCACAAAACCGAGGGTAACTGTCAGCAATTTTCTGGTAGTATTAGTATTTTATTTACAAAATTGGTTGGGTTGTGCTGCCATTAGGGGTGTAAACGAACCGAATCGAAGCGAATACCGATATATTCAAAATAAGATTTGAATAAGTATTTGATTAATATTCGAATAATTATCGAATCATAAACGAATATTTGAATAATCATACTATGTAATTTATATGATGGACCAACATCAATTTGTAATTTAACTTACGATACTCTTTATACTATACTATATTCCGTATATAAAAACATTAATACATCTGCATCTTACACAAATTATATTTTATAAATATAACAATTAAAAATCATATGCTTTAGATTTTCGTGTTACGTTAATTTATTGAATTCTTAGTATTTTAAATACACTTTATACTATATTACTTTGCTTGACTTTTGATGTTGAAAACATGGTCTGTGTGTGTGTATATGTGTGTGTGTGTGTGTGTATATATATATATATATATTCGAATATTCAAATATCATCCGAATCAAATATATCTTTATTTGTATTTGTATTTGATTAATATTCGAATCAAAAATAATATTTGAATTTGAATAACGCGAATTCAAATCATCATATTCGAATACAAATCGCGAATCGAATTTAAAATATTTGATTTGTTTACATCCCTACCTGCCATGCTAAATTAGTGGCATTAGTGGCCACTCTAAATCCCAAACATGAACCATTCATCTCATCTAATTTTAAATCCAATGCCTCTCAATCTTTACTCACTTATTACTCAAAATAACTACGTCTCCCCTCTGTTATCCGTAAAGGTTCACCATCTCCCAGACCTCTTCAATTCCCCCATTCTCAGCCCTCTTTACCATCGCGATTAATTTTGAGTTCTTTGACGCAAGCCTCTTCGACGCAAGATAGAAGGATAAAGAATGAGCGAGGAACGTAGCCCGACGCCCTCAAATCGGTAATTTTTAACCCTAGATTAATTTTTAGTTCTTTGTTCCAGTTAGTGAGAAAGGAGTTCGAATCTAAGTACTTTGTTCCAATTTTGATTTATTTTTTCCAATTTTGAGTTATTTGCTTTACAAAAGGTTTCTGCAATTTTTTCTGCAAAAGGTTATTTGCTTTACAAAAGGTTTCTGCAATTTTGATAGTAGCCCAATTTTCTGTAATTTTTTTCTGGGAAACTAACAAGTGGTTTCTGCAATTTTTTTCAAACAAGTTGTGTGAATTTTTTGTGCAAATTGCACCAAAAAATTTTACTTTGTGCAAATAACTCAAATTTTTCTACAAATTTTTTTATGCACATTTTTCTGCAAATTATTTTTTGTGCGATTCTAACCATTGATTTGTTATCCTTTTTTTAGGTGCGAAATGGAGCAAAGTTCAAATCTACAAACGATACTTTATGGAACGAATAGGTCATTTTCCACTGCTACGAAGGTAGTGAATGAAAGGTCTAAAGCAATTGCACAATGTGTTTTGATAGTGTTGAAGCATTTGAGGAATTCTACAATGTGTATAACCTAGCAAATGGATTTCATACAAGAAAACGCACGAAAAGGGGGAATGACTACTTTAGGTGGGTGTGTCGTAATTCGTAGAGTAGGCTTCCACAAGGCAAAACCAAGCGATGGCAACTCATTAGAGAAGAAAAAATGAAAGACATTGACGGTTAGAGTAGGTTGCCTGAGTGCATTGAGTTTGAAGTTTGATAAAAAAAATTGAGAAATGGTTTATCTACTCATTTACTTCAGAGCACAACCATGGTATTGTGACGCCAAACAACGCACACTATGTGCCTACTAGTGTTACCGTAGAAGAAACTAGTGGTAAGGTGATTGAAATGTTTAAGGACCATGGCATCCCAATAGGAAAAGTAGCTGAATTGTTTGGCAAAGGACGTTTTTGTAAACGAAATTGTTACAACCATAGTGAGATCAAAAGTTCTTGACACTAGTGATGCTCAAGGAGTTTTAGAATATTGCGAGCATTAGTCGAAGTTAGATCCAAGATTTTTTTATCGTATGCAAATTGATGAAGAAGGTAAGATGTCTAACTTTTTTTGGATTGATGCTCGTTCTAGGATGGCATATGGAATATTTGGGGATGCCATTATTTTTAACACCACATACCGGACAAATAAGTATGAGATGCCTTTAGCTCCTTTCGCTGGAGTGAATAATCACAAAGGGAACATTTTATTTGGTTGTGCGCTGATTATGGATGAGCACGAAGATACATTTGAGTGGTTGTCTCATACATGGCTAGAAGCAATGGATGGTAAGACGCCCATTTCCATCATCACTAATCATGATAAGTCCATTACTAATGCGGTTAGAGCCGTATTTCCTAAAGCACGCCATAGATTTTGTATATGACACATCCTAAAAAAATTTCCTGAGAAACTTCCTCCCGCTTTAAAGGTTAACAAGGTATTCAAGAGGGAGATTAGTGACATAATTAGGGGATCCTTATCAACAAATCACTTTGAGAATCAATGGTTGGAACTCATGATGAGGTATGACCTTCAAGACATGTTCATGCGGGTACTTTGCTTGGAATGGTCTGTTATGTCGTCACATTTTGAAGGTGTTTAATTCCAACAACATTATTCGTATTCCGAAAGCATATATATTGCACAAGTGGTATGAAAAAATTGTATCCTTTTTTTGTTTCTTTCGTACACTTCAAAACTGGTGGAACACATCCTGGACCAATACCTTTGTCCGTTGCAACTGGCTGCTACTGCTTGCTATTTCTGTTGTATAGTGCTGCTCTCAATTGGAGGGAATAAGGCTACATAATACTGTGGGATAGCCTTCTTTTGCATTGCTCTATGGCTTACTATTTGGATTAACACTTGATCATACTAATGTTGGCACGTTTGAGTTGTATTTGTGGTATCTTTTTTCTCTTGAAATTTCATTTTTTTTCTAACAAGTCTTTTTTCTCATGTAATTTGATATTCATTGTTCATTTTCAAGAAGAAATTTCATTGAACTCGCACCTAACTTTTACACTCGACATTTCAAATAAAATATTTTTTAAAAAGCATAAACATTGAATATAAAACTTTACTTCACTATTCTTATCAGTGGACTAAACCTAATTAGTTAAAGGAAGCTCGAACTCTATATCCTATTGTCGTGTGATATTTTAATTATAGTTGGATGAGTTCTAAGTATAGGTACACATCAAAAGAGATGATGAGCAATAAACTCATAACTGGCTCAAATAATTGACTATTTTTGTTCCAAAGCGAGTCGCAGTCAGCAACATAAGATAATATGCGGCTTAACACAAAAAAGGCAAAACCTTGCAAACATATTGAGGAATGAAATATAAACAAATAACAGTGCAGTTGTCTCAAACATGGTTTACATAAACCATACAAACAATACTTTAGAACAAGCACATAATCTCAAATTACAAAAGAAAAACAAATATTACAATATTAATGACAAAAGTTGCACCAAACCCAATCATAAAAGCTCCAAATTGCTTTTGTTTGGTACGGATTTTTAGGATCTTTATCTCTTCGTCTTTTGCATTGCTCTTCTTTAGAAGTCCGAGAATAATCTTCTTACCTCGGTCGCATATTGGAGGGTCGAACCATTCCCAGTAACTGCACTTGCGAGTACCCCTATTCAACACCAAAAAACAAAGGCAAATATCTATCAAAACGGCACCAAACCCAACCATAAAATGTTATATACATTTGCAGGTTATTCAAGTTCCGGGTTTTAAAAAACACTTATTATTGGAAGCTGATCTTGCAAAAGACAATCGGCCAGTTAATGTTCAACGCAAAAATTCAAGATATTCAAATTTCCAATCTAGAGGTTCCTCTAATTTACTCAAATTTCCTCTAATCGGCCAGTCACAATCTAGAGGTTCCTCTAATTTACTCAAATTTCCAAGTTATTCAAGTTCCTCAAATTTACTCAAATTTCCAGGTTATTCAACATTTTTGAAAAACAAAATTGAACGCCTTATACACAAATTTGCACACAAAAAAAACCAAATTCAAAACTAGGGTTTGCTTGGTTCGGATAAAATTGAAAAATATAAACTAAATAGACAGACGGCGATGGATGAATATATACCTGGACGAAACAACTGGTGGGAGGGATCTTCGTGGAGGAATCAGGATCTTGGTGGGAGGGATCTTTTTCGGAGGGAGTCTGTACATTAAAGAGACGGACGCGTCAAAGAGATGGACGGAAATTAAGGAAACGGAGGTAACCCTTTTGATTTAATGATGGGTGTATATGAACCATTGAATTAAAGATTAGGTGAGATGAATGGTTGGAATTAATAGTGGCCACTAATATCACTAATTTACAATGGCAATAGAACCAGCCGTTACAAAATAGTATAAAAATAAAAACATAATTTACATATTTAAAAAAGTTAAACAAAAATTTTACAAAATAAATGGTTTTATCAAATAAATACATGAAATCAAATGAAAGTTATGCCATAGTTTATTTTTGGAGGAGAGTATTCTATTTTACCCAGAAAATTACTCGCGGGTGACGCGAGTTTTGTCGAAATAACTTTCAGGTCCCTCTATTTTTTCAAAAAGACAACCGAGGTCCTTATATTTTGTTGTAATGACTAGGAGGGGACATTTCATCCAATACATCATCCGTAAGTGTTAATAAATGAATTTTTTTCCTATTTTTCCAATATCATTTTTTCCTATTTTATCATTACCTTGTTTTTTCTTTTTTTAATTTTTTTTATTTCATTTGTTTTAATATAATACAAACAATTTTTAATTTTTATACGATTTTATAGAAGAAATTCTAAAATAACACTTTAAAAAATAGTAACAAAATGAAAGAAAAACAAAAAAATAAAAAAGGAGCGACCTAAGATTTATTACTTTAAAACATTTAGAAAAGAATAGGAAAAAAATACATTTATTAATGTTTATAGATGAAAATATTGGATGAAATGTACCCTTCCAGTCATTACAACAAAACGTAAGGACCTTTGTTGTCTTCTTGAAAATAGAAGGAACTGAGAGATATTTCAACAAAACTGGCTTCCGCCGCCCACTGATTTTCTGCTATTTTACCTGTTCTAAAGCCCCTCAGCCTCATACCTCCCGCCGCAAACCAGCCTCTCCTCCACTCTCAGCGACGGCCCCTCACGCTGCCAGCCCACTCGCCGTGCCTCTGCCTCAGACCAACTCCCCCACTCGCCGTACCTCCAACGACGCCGGTAACCTCCAAACGAAGACGTCTCCCTTCCAAACGAAGACGCTTCCGGCCCGCCCACCTACGGCAGATTTCCGTCCACATTTGCCTCAGCCTTCTTCTGGTTTCGGACGCCCTCCCTCCAGCCTTTTTTCCTAAACCCACCCTTTGAATCAGGTAAATTGCAGGTTTTTGTTCAACATTTGATGGGGCATAATTTCTAACTTCACAATTCCAATGATTTGACATTATACAGTATATTTGCTTCTCATATGAAGTTGGGTATAATGGAGTGTCTTCCATATTTTTTGAAACAGATTAAAATGATTTGTTGTGTAATTCAATTTTCAGGCAGCTTTGTAGTTGATCCTTTGTATTGTTTGGCAGGCCTCTGCTACCTTAAACGTTCTCCATAGAGTAGTGACCTAAGCGTAGTGGATTGCCTGCTTGGTGTTTGTTGGAAAGTTTAAACGAGAAGTTCACTGTTGATATGGAGGAAGCAACGGAACAGAAGAAGAAAAGCGAGACGAATAAGGTGCCAGTACTGCCATGGATGAGAAGCCCAGTTGATATTTCTGTGATTGATGAGTGCCCTCTCAACCATCTCCCGTTTCTTGACCCCAGGTTCCTTTTTTTTTCTGTACCCTGAATTTTTTCGCATTGAAGTATTTGCATTTTGCAGAACTTGTGTGATAGGATTAATAGCGTGACATTCTTGAAGCTATTGGATTTACATTTTAGAATTTTTAATTGTTTATGAAATTCTGATTGGAAGGGATCAAGAACTACATGTTGAACAAAAAGTTCATTCTGTTCCTTCAAAAACCTACTTTTACTTGCATTTGTTAGAGTTCATCTGAATTAGAGCAAGAAAGATGCATCATGGGATACTGGAATTTAACATTTTGCATTGGCTTGAGGAAACCTACCATATTGTAATGAACATCACTCTGGACCAGATGTGAATCATAGGCTAGATAATGAATGACTTGGTACTATAATGGACTCTGGAACATTTCCCCACACTTGTAACTTGTAATTGTATTTCTTTGTCTCAATTCCATTCCATACACAGGGATTTTCTTCATCCTCATCTTGTATAGTATTCATACCTTAAAAGAAAACAAGGGGGAGGCTGGATAGGGGGACGAGGTGTACGACTCTGAACATGTCCCCCCCGTGCGCGTTTCCGAAACCCATGAATATCGTGTGATATTTTCTTAAGATTAAGGCAACTGGGAAGAAATTTAATTCAAACTGAGAAAGGACTTTTCATGGGTTGAAATTCTTGAATGAGTTTAATAAGTTGTGGATTATAAAAATAGTTCTGTCATTAAGCTGCTTCTAAACAGAACTCAGACACTCAGTAGGAAAGTCAATTTTAATATCTTGCACATATTCTTCTTGGAAGATAAGAAGCAACCATTTTTTAGGGGTAATACTTATCATCCCACGGATGGGGTGGGGTCTAAGGAGGGGGAGGGTGGGTGTAGGCATACCTTATCCCTGCCTAAAAGGTAAATACGTTGTTTTGAAAAAAATGCCCTGCACGAACTCACAAAGAACAGAAAACACACAATAGTAAAGTCCTAAAAATATAAGGAGAGATAAACATAAACAAGGGAGGAGAGAAAGGAAAATATAAGTAACCAGCAAAGATCACAAACAGAGGGGTCATGTCTTCTGTTCTAATGGATCTTATTTTTAAATATCTTGTTGGAAAACCATTTTTCTTTTCTTCTGATTGAATATCAATGATTTATTTTCTTTCATTAGGTTGGAGGCAGCTTTGAAGGAAATGAGCATAACTTCTCTCTTTCCAGTACAAGTTGCTGTCTGGCAAGAGACGATTGGACCTGGCTCTTTTGAGCGAGACCTTTGTATAAATTCTCCTACTGGGAGTGGGAAAACTATTTCCTATGCATTGCCAATTGTGCAGATGCTTTCAAATCGTGCTGTAAAATGTCTCCGTGCATTGGTGGTGTTGCCCACTCGTGACTTGGCCCTACAGGTGGTTACATTATTCTCTTTTGCTTAAAATTCTTGATGCATGATTTGTAAGTCTCTATATCAGCATCAATGCACAAAATTTTGGGTTGTCTTTTGAAGTGCGCATACGATCTTTGTGGCTATTTGGCTATTTTTTTGGAAGTAACAGTATCATCTTTCACTATTGTAACTTTGTACTATTAACTAAAATATGTAGAGGTAAATAATAAATATTTTATATATCATTGAGACTGGAGAGAGGTTTACTTAATAGTGTCTTGTAGGCGCCTTCTAGCAGTGGTTCGGCCTTGGTAAAGAGCACAATTATGAGTCTAATATTTTCAATGCCTGCTATGAAGGAGCTAAACTGCACTATATCTCATTAAAATAGTATTGCATGTGGGAAGCACCTATCATATTTAAAATATACTTATCTTTTTTGGTATGCTTTCCTCTCTTTGCTCAATAATGGTAAATTATCCGATTGAATCTCAGTTTGGTAAACATTGGCAACAGCAGGAATGTTGTTTTACCTGGATGTGATGTGGATGCAATACGATTTGTTTTCAAAACTTATTAAAATGTATAGATAATTTTGTGAAAGGCTCACATGGTTTTGATACTTACAAAGGGTTTAGACTTTATTTCTGGTAATATACTATTTTCTAATAAAGTTGGCCATAACATTTTGGCCATGTGTAGTGTCTGTGGCTCGTCATGATTGCAAAAAACACTATTTGTAGATTGAACCAAACCCAATATACTTCTAGTCTAGATTCATAGACGGTTATATTTTTTTGTGCACATTTGAATGATTGCAAACTTAACCCACAGCCATGATAAAGCCATGAACAAGAAAAGTGGTGCTATTATTTTTTATTTAAATAATTGCGTACTACATTGGTGGTTAAAGTACAACACTACTTAGTAAATTTAAATTTCATTGAAATTGATCATTTTATGTGCAAAAAAGGAAATGGCATGTACAAATTTTACTGTACCAATTGTGTTTCCACTTTCAGGTTAAGGAAGTTTTTGAGGCTCTTGCACCAGCAGTAAATTTATCTGTTGGCTTAGCAGTTGGGCAATCTTCCATAGCTGATGAAATTTCACAGCTTATAAAGAAACCAAAGTTTGATAAAGGCATATGTTATGATCCAGAAGATTTTCCTCAGGAATTGCAGAGTGGTGTAGACATACTTGTAGCAACACCAGGAAGGCTGATGGACCACATTAACAATACCAAGGGGTTTACGCTTGAGCATTTATGTTACCTTGTAAGCAGCTTCTTTATCTTACAATTTTTCATATTATAGGATGTTGCACCTTTTCTTTCTAATGCGAAACTTGGATATACATGCCAACATTTTTCCTGTTCAAGCATTTTGTAAATCTGCACTAGTTTTGAAATATACATATGCACAATGAATATCTGAAATCTTAATAAATTTAGTATAATGTGCTGGCATGTACATGTTCTTGGTGATTGTTCGTTTGCTCAAGCTGTTACCCTTGGACTTGATAGTTGATCCTGCATTTTCATTATTTCATCAATATATCTTTGCACTCTAACACCGATTTCTCTATTAGTCCCAGTACTAGTAGGAAACGCTCATTTAGTAGGCTTGCATGATTGCTTTTTCCATTGTTTACGGTGTATCTTACATTCTTACTAACCTTCAACAGCTCAGCTGTCAACTCATGTGCAATTAACACTTTAAGATGGATTAAATACTGGGACTTCACTGACATCGCTCTACTTAAGAAATAAATATTTTCAATTAGCTCTCTCTCTCTCTCTCTGTCTGTCTCTGTCTCTCCTCATAATAAGGTGTAAAAAGATTCATAATAAGGCTATAAATGACATTTTATCAAAGTGTAATAGCATTGTTTCAGGTTGTTGATGAAACAGATCGGTTACTTAGGGAGGCATATCAATCCTGGCTCCCCACTGTCCTCCATTTGACTTGTTCTTGTGATACGCTATTCCCTTCTGACAATTTTTCTCCCTGTGCTTTTAGTGCCTTGAAGACAATTCGGAGATTGTAAGTTGTATGCTCTAACTCTCTATCTCTTAATCATGTTAGATATTTACATATTATGTAGAAGAGCTTTATCATGCTGATTTTCATGCTTTGTCTGATCAAGATGAAAATGTTCTCAAATCCTTCCAATCTTCTTGAAATTGGGAGGCTGTCTTTAATTCTTTATAATATACGGATTACACTTTATTACACTTCACTGGTATAGGATGACTGCATACCTTAAGGGGTCTTTAATATATAAATGAAACTATTTTTTTGTTTTCTAGGATGTCTTCAAGTATAATCCATAAAAGATCTAAATTTTCTGAATTGCATCTGTGCTGTTATGCTTGATGCTATTGTCATTTTCACGCAGCGGTGTTGAAAGAGGATTCAAAGGTAAACCTTTCCCAAGGCTCGTGAAGATGGTCTTGTCTGCGACATTAACCCAAGACCCCAGTAAACTAGCTCAGCTTGATCTTCATCATCCTCTGTTCCTAACAACAGGGGACATGCGCTATAAGCTCCCCAAACATCTAAAATCATTTAAAGTGGTAGGGCTCCTATGAAAGGAATGTGAGAATGGTGTTCATCTCTACGGTGTTTGCTTTCTCTCGATGTTATTAGTTCTACATAAATGATACTGTTCATTAATTACTATGTTCTTTCTTTCACAGATATGTGAATCATCACTAAAACCACTATACCTGATAGCTCTTCTTAAAGCTTTAAAAGGGGAGAAATCCATCGTATTCACTTCATCTGTGGAATCAACTCACAGACTATGCACCTTGCTTAACTTTTTTACTGATTTGCAAATTCAGATCGAGGAGTATTCACGTCTTCAGCGACAGTCAACAAGGAGGTTGTAGACACAGTCAATATGTTTTAAGCTCTTTTTCTCTATGGTCATATTTTTTTCCATTTTAACCAGATGCTTAATTTTGCGTTAACCAATGCAATTTTACGCTCGTACCATTAAAATTTGGTTTGTAGCAAGACACTAAGAGCCTTCCGTGAAGGTGAAGTTCAAGTACTCATTTCTTCTGATGCAATGACACGTGGAATGGACGTTGAAGGAGTGAGAAATGTTATTAATTATGATATGCCTGCATATGTAAAGACCTATATACATCGGGCCGGACGAACTGCAAGAGCTGGACAATTTGGAAATTGCTTCACATTGTTGCGTAAAGATGAGGTATGTTATCTCTTTATATGACTGCAAAGATGAAAACTCTTATACCCTTTTGACTTTAGGGTTCACATTTCAATTGAAGTTTCACACTTGTGACTTTCATTCCCATGCTTATTCTAGAACTAGAAACTTGTTGAATCCCATAGATACTTTCTGAAATCAGCTGACTACAAATCTTCAATATCTAAAACTTCATTCAAAGCATACTACAAAAAATGTTAAAAAATAGAGAGCAGTTTAAGAAAACAGGTGAAGGAATCAATACAAGAATAACTCTAACAAATTTACAAGGAAATGGATCCAAAACCCATCCAGATTCACTGAAATTGCATTATTTCTAAGTAGATGCTTTATTAGTCACTTGGCCCATAATTGTGTAACTCAAATATTCAGAAGATTCAATGCACTCATACGTCCCTAAGGTATGACGATCAAATGAGTGTTTGTTTAATAAATCAATCAACAATGTCTTTAAATTGAACGAACACAAAAAAAATGTCTATTTTCAAGTAATAGATGAAGGTGTCTAGCCTCTCATGTTAGAAATATACAAATAAACAACAACCCATTAGAGTCCCACAAAAGCAGGGTCCTGGGAGGAGAGGTTGTGTGTACGTAGACTTCACCCCTACTAAAAGTAGAGAGACTGTTTCCAGAGACCCCCGACTCAAGTAACATAGAGAGCAGATAGCACGATTGATATACAAATAAAAAAGACAATTAATAATTTGTACTCCATCCGTCCCGTTTGAATCTTCCCACATTCCATTTTGGGCCGTCCCTCTTGAATCTTCCCACTTTCTATACATGGCAACTAAATACATGAAAAAGGTCTATTTTGCCCTTTTTGAAATTAGATCTACCCAAACACACTCGTCTCACCTTCTTTGTCCAAACCACTATTCCTTTCTTCTTTTTACCACTTACTTTCAGAACTATGCTTTTTTGGGTGTTCACAGAAATTGTACTTTGTTAAGCTGGCAAAAGCCAATGCGCTTGAATAACAGTAATTGTTTTCAAAGGCTGTCTTGTAATACACAGTAAGGGAATACTTTAAGTCATAACTAAATAGAAAACTACTCGTATAATCTAAATACCGTTGAAAAACAATTCTAACACAATTGGGGAGTCCTTTCCCTTTTGACCCTTGAAGTAAAGATTTCATTCGAAGTTCGCTCTTGGCTTTATATTCCCGTGAACATTTATTTTTATCTTCGGAGAGTGGATCTGGAAAAAGCGAGTGTTTTTCAGACACTAACCCATGCCTGAAATTGACTGAACATTGGCATTTCAGGTCAAGAGATTCAACAAAATACTACAAAAGGCAGACAATGATTCTTGCCCCTCTCATCCTATTGAATCACAAGCAATAGAGTCGCTTCGACCCGTATATACGTCAGGTGATCATTTGGATCTCTAACTTGTGGTCATGTTATATCTTTGGTTAAGTAAGGACTATAGTTTGATACAAGTGAATTTATATAGTTGAAGTGAATGCTGTTGTTCTCTCCATGATTAGAAGTTTCATTTTTATTTCTTTTCCAGCTTTGGAGAAATTGAAAGAAAGCGTGGAATCCGAAAAATATAAGAAGCAGCGTCCGAGCTCGGAGCCTTCTAAAACGAGTAAACGGGACCGGGAGTAGTTCCAACTTGAAAGAGAGCTTTGGAACCCAATGTATTGAACACCAAGTGTCCATTGATCAATTGCATGCAAGTTTTCACACTCCAATACATTAATATAGGTAACATATTTGTTTATGAGACTATAAGTCAAAAGATCTACAAAAAAGCTCTATATGTCTTATTTGCTCTCAGCTCAAGTGCTTACAATGAATGTAATAGTAGTCTTATTTACTACAATACCCCTCCCGCTTCATCTCCATTCACTGTTCCGGTGGGCTTGTCTCGCCAAACCATCTCGGAGGGTCGAAGCCAGAGCCTCCTGTAATTGTCATTTAAATGCTGGTTAAGTATAATTAATTCATTTAAGTTATAATTACCGGAAGTAATAACTAATCCCATCATCCAATTAGCGCCAGTAGTAGGTAAATAATACTGTAATATCATTAAACAAAATAAAAAGATTGATTTATGCATTAGTATATAATTACCCACCCAAAGGGTTACAGCGACAAAGACGGCAGGCAGTCAAGGCAGTGCCCTTAACAAATCCATATTTCTTGTAAGCAATCATTGAATACTCACTGCACGTAGGAATGTACCTGCAACTCTTAGGCAACAATGGCGATATCTCTCCTGCTCATCACATCAATGCCATCTTATTTAGTTATGCCAAAACCATAACGGGTGTCGGTCAATAATATTCTGACACTCGGATCATTTGAGAGCCTTATGATGTTCATTTGTGCCCCCGAAGCCGGGCCCTCCCCCTCCCCTAACTCACAAACTTTCCCCTCTGTCCTCCCCGAGAAAGCCGAAAGGCTATAGTTGATCTAGGGGTGTTGGGGTCGGAGTGTTTGTGAAGGGTCAAAGAGAGTAAGAGCGTGTTCTCTTCAACTAATTCTTACAACTTATTCTTATTGGAATCCGATCAGATCAGAAACAACTTTAACTATAATTACAATCAGGTCAGATTAGAATTTAGAACTTATTTCAATCAAATGAGAACAAGTCCTAAGACCTACCTCGTGACTCACCGGAGCACCGTAACACCCTATTATCATAATGTACTCCATATCTACATACACTCATTATTTTACTTGAAAAAAAATACACATACACACAAGGAAGGACTCACTCTTGTAGAAGATGAGCAGGGACAATGCAGCTTTCACCCCCAAATTATCCACTTCCTCACCTGAATTAGTAAAACTCTCAAACTCCATCCACATTTTTAAAAATTAGTCTCTGGCAACTCTTAATGTGAATGTACCAACTCCGTCCCAATTTAGTCGTCCACTTTTCAAAAAATCTCTTTCAAGAAATGAGTTTGGAATTGTCAAATAAATTCTTCCTCCTAATTTCTATACTGAATATAGAAAATGGATAACTAAATAATGAGTACTCCCTCCGTTCCAAAAAGAATCGTCTGTTGTTGTTTGCGAGATCCGACTGAAATTATTTTCAATTCAATTTATTTGAAAATTGGTAAGAAATTTAAAAATAAAATGTGTATATATATATATATAACTTCACCAAAAGTTCTACAAAATCATACATGACAACACAATATTATTTTCTAAAATAGATAAAGAATGTGGTTAAAATTTAACAATGTAAATAATAAACAGACAACTTAAATAGGTACCAAAAGTTAAAAGTAATGACCTTGAGAGCTTCTAGGGATGGGGTTTTTCTGTGAACCATTAGCAATAATCAGATCACGAGTCTTCTTCGCCCACCTGACCTGCAAACAGATAAGAATTTTTTTTTTTAAAAAAAACAATGTGAAAAAAATACTATAAATTATGATTTCGATAATAGAGAGATGAAAAGGGCAGACGTTTTTGTCGGGGAGTGGAGGAATGGAGTAGTAACGACTTTGATTAGGATAAAGTGCGGGGAAGTTGAGAGTAGGGATGACCGGAGAAATCGGTTTGTGTAATGATTCAGAGGGACCGCCGGTGATGTTCACCGGAAGGAGCGTCGTCATTCTCTCTCGCGATACTGCTTTTCTCCCTTATTTTTTGCTCTGATACTCGTTGGATTTAGATTAGGAAGAACACTGCGAAGCAGTATTTAAAGAAGAACTCGAAAGGATAACGAATCGCGTACGAAACGCTTTCTGATCAAAGTTATTTTGGGGTATACGAAATACTTCAATCGGATAAGACGTTAATCAAGAACGAGAACTCAAGAATCGGTCACCCAACCCATACCACGAGACTCTATTTTATAGAGTCGAAAATCCTTGTGATCGGACATGAACGTTCGCGTAGATGTACGCGTATGTTCGCGCGAGGAAAAAGAAAGGTGCGAGTTTGAACGAAAGGTCTCCTGCGGTTTAAGGCTCAATTTCGACATTTATCCATTGTGTACGAGTCCTTTACCGTTTTGGACTCCGATCACGAAAATCTTAAGGATTTTCTTAAAGAAACAACGTCCGAAATATAAAATTTCCAAGCTCGACCCCGGCCAGGGGTTGCCGCCCCTTGGACCCCGCTACCCAGGGACTGCCGCCCCCGGACCCCCGCAGTGAATTTATAATATCGTTGAACGAGCGCGCACTCCGCGCCTCCTAACTCGTTTGACAACGTCTTCCGCGCCTCCGATCGAAGTAAATCCAATTACACAAAATAAATCGATGACACTAAAATCACCAACATACTCTTCCCGTCTTCCGCATCCAAATTCCAAGCTTTCATGCGGAGTAGTAGAAAATACTCTTCTATTCTTTATCCGAATCAATTTTTTATTTTCGAAATAAGAGTTTGTACCATGGTAACGTGAATGTAATTACTATACTTTTTGATAATTTACATGATCACGTTTGATAACGTAAATACATTTTAACTCCTATTTCGAAAATAAAAACATGAAAATCTTATTTTGGTTTATTTTTAATGTTTTACTCCTACTTTTGTCTTTTTTCCATTAAAATAAAGATTAGTTTGGGAGACAGGAAAATATTTTCCAAAAAAAATACTTTTAGAGGAAAATGATTTCTACAAAAAAATAAACACCTAAAATGTTACTCCGTACTTCCAAACAGGTCCTAATTAATTAAGTGTTATAATAAGATCGTCTAGCTTCTGTTGACACCAAACTGAGTGTCAACGAATGATACCAGCTCTAATTGAAATATCTACGGCGTTTCATCATAATTTTGATGAATCCTGCACAACTAATCCCTCACGAGGCCTGAATCCATCCCAATACCTTCGATTTCATTCTCAAAGTTTTGTTGACTATGAGGTCAAAAAATTTGACCCCAAATTCAACAAAACTTAAAAGATGAAACTCAAGGTGTGGGGATGAGTTCGAGGCGGGACTAGGGGGTTTTCTGGAGGTTAGGAAATAAGTATCATGGATTTTATAAAACGAAACTCCGTTGCACCATATTGGGACCGGTATCAACGAAACTCCTCCTGGGGAAAGTGCCCTGAAGTTTTTTAAAAGCATTGTGCAATGACACAAATTGTGAAAAAAATTATCTCAAACAAGCAATAAAATAATTATAATACAGAATCTAATGATAGTTCTAATTTTTATAAAATGAACTTTAAAAATTATATACACCAGTAAAATATAACTTTCTTTTATCAAAAATATTAATTTGAGAAAAAAATCAATACAAAACAAAATAATTGCATATAAAAATGTTTTGTAAAGCCCAAACATGCATTTAGTAAGCTACAATCACTCAAATTAGAGAAAAAATAGGGTCATTAATTTATTCAACTAAAAATACATTTAGACTCTGTTTGGTACACAAAATTCTAACTATGAAATTAGAATTAGGTATTTTAATTCCATTTCTGCTATTTGTTAGCACAAAATTATGTAGATATGGAATTGTCAGTGCAAAAAGTGAATTGAAATTAAATAATTCAATTACAGAGAATTTTGATTTTAATTCCGTCAATTCCGTGTATCAAAGATCACTAAACCATGTCGCAAAACTTCTTATTTGCGCTACCTAAAAATATGTCGGTTAAATATTTAATGCGAAAAGGTGAAAGGATTCATATTCCTATACAGAAAAAGATCTCGATGACCTTATTTATTTTTAAAGTTAAACAGAGAATACCGACACAGAGACTGAGGAACCATGCGTTCATCATCGTGAGCATAAAAGGCGGCGGAGGCGGGGGTGATGAACTGTTGTCATCGCCGGCATTGACGCTCCGGCATTTTTTCCCTTCTCTTTGGTTCATATGCCAAGATCTTACAAAATTAAATAAGCAATCACATTACAATAAAAATAGACGCAGTGTAGAAATGAGCCAAGTTATTTAATTCTGCCTCATATTTTATTCATAAATTCACATGCATTTAAAATACAAAGTATTACTCTATTCGTTTTTAAAAATTCTCATTTCTCTTTTTAAAGACCTTAAAAAAATTAAAATTATATGATAAAAATCTATGCAGAGAAAAAAGAAATAATGTAAATCACATATCTTTTCCCATAAATAGAATGAAAACTTCTATTTGGACCTGCTGAAAAAGGTAAGCAGTTAGTTCTTTTAGGGACGGAGGGAAGATAGTCTCATAGTGTACATACATGATACATCTTCAAACTTCATCATTTACAATCCTTAATTTCAATTTCATGCAATCAAGACTTGTCATCAAATTCCACAAGTATATATATTTAGTTAATATAAATGGCTGTCCCAAACAGGGAATAAGATGACCATTTCCAAATCAAAGTTCAAATGTCACTGGCATTATTACATATTCTATAATTCTGCCATTTGTGGATCAAAAGACATGACGAGTACTAAAAAGAACATCAGAAAGGGGCGTCGATCTGTGAGAAAAGGGCCTTGAAATCCTTTGTTGGGGTTCCACTGCCCTCAGGCTTCGAGCCCAGATCGAATGCTTTGGCTTTTGCCTCGTCAAACCGCAGTGCCTGAGTTCAGCAAATACATCAATCAATTTCACATGCATACATACATTAACAAAAATGATGATGATTATGGTGATGATGATCAGTTTCACCTGAATGCAGACTTGTGCAACATCAGCCCTAGGAACAGTTCGGTTGTCTGTCTGAAGAAGCTCATCGTCCTTGCCAACAACAAGCTCGCGCACACCTCCATCTCTGTCTTGCAATCCCCCAGCTCTGCACGTCAGCGTCAGAGAGGGGAGAGACAGAGACATAAATACCCAATATCACACTCATGCGATTCAACAACAAACCCAGAAAAAACCCCACAAAAAGTAAGGTATGAGAAAAGTGTGTGTATGCAGACATTACCCCTACTTACAGAGTCGAGAGGTTGTTTCCAAAAATGGGTCACTTTCTAAAATATGATAGAACTATCCCAAGACTGTATATGTGCGTTTGTATTTTACATGACTTCGGAATAGAATGAATACCTAATGATGGTATATGGGATTCCAGAGTCTGCTAAATATTGCTCAGATTTCCTCTTCCAAATCTGTCATCAAAAGCACTCCATTTTCCTATTGAATACTGCATATTTATTTATCTTTGGGGGTGGGGTGGGGAATGTGGGGGCTTGATTTGAGATTCTCACCAATATGCTCCCATTTCCCAAGCTGTTTAGTGGGTGATTAGGGTTGGTTCCACCCATTGACCCAACAAGCACAATATGCTTCAATCCAGCAGCCTTAGCTGAAAAATTCACAAGGACTCACAATCTGGCAGGTTGTGTTCATCAAATTTAAGGACAGACTACAAATAAAAACCCTTCAGTACTCTGCATTACCTGCGTCTATCTGATTCTTCTGCCCAATCCAATCCACCTGAAACACATCAACCATTACCAACGTGCGGCACAAGGAAGAAAGAAAAACACAACACAAGCCCATAACTCATCATCAAAACTACAAAAGACCGCTCACTTGTTCGGGGTATGACCCCTCTTCAAAGTAGAACTCCGGCCTTTCCCCTTTCGTAGGATCAAAACCGGGTCTCATCTTTGGGACAGCACTTGTAAGGATTATAAGAGCATCAACACCATGAACCGGAGCAACTAAGCTCTCGGCGTCCCTAATATCGCTAATGTAAACATCATCTCCACCCCCAATGCTCTCCTTGCTCTCCTCACTTCTCACCAACCCTCTTGCTATGTACTCCTCCGAACTCTCCTTCAGCTTCTTGTAAACAATTTTCCCTGCCCACCGGCACAAAGAGCTCTATGGTTATATGCTATGAAAATCCCAAACTAACATCTTCATCAACGAAATACTATCGAATAACTAAGCATTTCCTAGTTTGTTTGCAATGTTATCGGATTCTCCACAAGATTAAGATTGCCGAATAGTGTCTCATTAACTAAAATATGAATGAAAAAAATCTTAATGGGTGTTGAAAGAAACTCAGGCATCTGAATACATTTTGCATTGATAGATACTCCACTCTGTATATTCTAAGCTTTCAATTCAATGTTTGTAAACAAGGAACTAATTTTGTTTTATTTTTTGTAAAAATATATACTCCCCTCCTTCACACAATAGTTTTTCAAACATTTCATTTTTTTATCTGTCTCAAAATAATTTGTCCCAAAATATGTCTCTTCTTCTGAACAAACTCTAACCACTGATTTCTCGTTCTTCAACACTCTTTTCTTAATGTCACGAATTGAATAGCACATATTTGACAAACAAAAATAGGGATGAACGGAAAACTAACGGAACCCTTTGTCAGTACAATAGAAAGTCGAAAACTTACCGGTTCTTCCACCGGCTCCGGTAACAAGAACGGTTCTTTTACCATCCGCCATAGCCGTTGCCAAAAGAGTTCTGCTTCGTCCTGTGTTGTGTTTGATGGAGGAACCGATGAAGAAGAGTAGGTTATCCTGAAATTAACTGCTCGTATTTTCTTTGAAGGAAAATTAATTACTCGTATGATCTCATTTGAATTTCTTAAACACATTAAATTATTAATGGATTAAGTTATTTGTACCCTATTTTGTACCCCGTGCACACACATTTTGTGCTAGTGTTATGTTAATGTGATAATTTACATTGATAAAAAATGCTAGTAAAAGTTTTTTTAATTGAACTAACATTTTCTGCGAGTGTGAACCGGGACGATGCATTTCTTTGAGATACAACTTGGAGTACAGTTTTGGCATACCCTAGCATGATTGTGTTGGACAATGTGCTATTATGAATATATATATTTTTGCAATGTCCTTTGCTCATTACCGGTCTTTTGGGCAACACCTCTATTCACCAAATCCCTATTTCATGGGACACGGAGGGAGTATCTATTTCATAGTTTAGATTTGCACTGGACGCCTGAACTGCCAGATGTGATTTCAAAGTTTAGATTTGCACTGGACGACGAAGCTTAGGTTTGATTTCAATTCCAACTACATCGAATCTTTGTTTAGATCTAAGGCAGTTTTGATAATTTCAATTTCAATTTCCTCATGATATGAGTAATTTGAAGCTTGTTATAACTTGTGTCATCCACCCATGGAAACTAAAAGTCAAGCACCAGTAAGTAATAATCTTCTTCCTATGATCAATCATATGCTTAGCTTGCTTCCTTAGGAAAATCAATCCCTCCCCAAAGCTATGCTAAATCCTCGAAAATCCATTACCTTTTCGTGAAGTATTCGATCAATTCCCTCCATGGTAAAGTATATTTTCTCCCCCCCCCAGCTGGGAACTATATGTATGTGTATATATATATATATATATCTGTGTGTGTGTGTGTGCGCGCGCAGCTAGGTCATATAGATAAAAATAAAATATTGCACGAATTGAAGAAGAACATACGATAAATAAATCGAGCTTAAACAATTTGGAAAAAACACACACGTAGTGTATTATTATATACATGGGTTCCAAAACTACTAGAGGAGTTGAGATGTGGAGCAGCAGCAGCAGCAGAGATATTCCTCCGTCTCACTTCATTTTCATGATACGCTCTTTCTCTCAGCTCACAAAATCTGGAATCGACAGACTCGAGTCTGGAGTTTTTGAAGCCTCCCAGAAGAAATGGTACGTGCGTACCAAATTGTACTCCGCAACACATATAAGATTCGTTAACTAACAAATGCAATTCATTTGGTACTATTTTGATTCTTCGTCTGAATATAACAATCATTCATCATTAATTGTGCATATAATGCAGGAAGTTGTGTGTTTATACAAAGGCCAGATATAACATAAAAGCAAAGAATGGTGATGAGGATGACGACGACGAGCATTATATCTCCCTTTGCTTACGAATCGTTGATACTGATAGTCTTCCCCGAGGATGGGAGGTTCATGCTAGGTTTACTTTCTTTGTCTATGATCAAATCAATGACAAATACTTGACAATCCAAGGTACATATATTTCATACTTCACTTCTTCCGCTGCCTCTAGAGATTTCCTAGTTCTAACGTTTCTGGTCAAATCAGATCAACTTTAGCCGGCCAGTACTAATGTACCTATTTTTGAAAAGAGTAAGGGGCTGTTTGTTACAGCCTCTTAATGGTTCAGATGTCTGAATGGTTCAACACTTAATGGTTCAGACTGTTTGTTTCAGCCTCTTAATGGTTCAGATGTTTGAATGGTTAAGAGATTTGCCTCTGAATGGTTAAGTATTATACAGAGTATGAATGGTTAAGACCTCTTATCTGAATTGATCAGACATTTACCTCTGAATAGTTAAGCAATATACTAGCTCTTAATGGTTCAGACCTCTTACTGGTTCAACACTTAATGGTTCAGACCTCTCTTACTGGTTCAGCACTTACCTATTCAGAAGTTGCCAAACAGCCCCTAATTCTAATAAGCCTAAATATATTATTTTGTCAAATGATAGATGGTGGGGAGAAAGTGAGGCGATTTCACTACATGAAAACTCAATGGGGGTTGGACCAGTTTCTCCCACTCTCTATTTTCAACAACCCCTCCAATGGCTATCTGGTTGACGACACGTGCGCTTTTGGGGCGGAGGTTTTCGTCGTCTCAAATGCCCCAAAACGCGAATGTCTCTCCATTACGCCTACTAGTAAGGAAAACACCACTTACACTTGGAGAATAAACCATTTCGCATCCATAACGTCTGAATCTGTCACGTCTGATGAATTCTTCCTTGAAGGGATCAAATGGTATGTATGTATATAGTGCTCCGTGTCAATTTTGATGATCTGAAACGCTCGAGTTTTCGTACCATTCATTACGGATTTCACGATATGAATAATTGTTTAAATATAAGGACCATAAAGCTGTATCCCAAAGGATCCTCAACTGGAAAAGGCCACAGCATATCCCTTTATCTGATGTTGTCCGCTGCGCAGTATGAAAACCTTAATGCAGCAAAATTGTACGCAAAGTATAAGTTGCGAATCTGCAATCAACTCAGCGCTACACAGCACCATGAAACTCATGGTATGTATAGCAATAATAATTCCTTAAATTATTTTCCGTTTTTGCAATCAGTTTTGTTGGTACTAATTAATATACGGAGTACTTAAATTATTATTATTAATTTTTTTTTTGCAGTGGAACATCTTTTCGACGACCCGAAGTTGTCTGGGTATGGGGTGCACAAATTCATGTCTCTGAACAAGTTGGAGAGTGGTTACCTAGTAAATGACACACTCATTGTACAAGTAGATATCCTACTTCTCTCCAAGGTTTCTGAGTTCTGATTGATCCAGCTTAGATAGACCAGGTGCCACCTCTACATATAAATATATTATAGTCACACAAACTTAATTTGACACCAAATCATGTGTGTTTACTACGGCCTAATCAATATATACAGAGAATCATTGTCCGTATCGCATAAACATTACTCATTATTTGTGTATGTATGTCTGTGAAACACGCAGTGTCGGACTTTGTTTGGTGTCGACGTATTAATGGCAATATACTCTGTATATATTTATTCGTGTATATATGTATGCAAAGTGATGATCTGATCTACCCACCAGTTCGTTCGAGTACTTAATTTGGAGTTCATTTTCATGTTGTCTGTTGAGTACAATTATAACAACCTCATGTTGTCTTCTTTTCTTATCTTTTTGGTTCATGAAATCAAAAAAGGAACGGATAAAATCTTTCGTTTTTTAATTAAAATGAAAGAAAAGTGGGTTTTCTTCTTCTTAATTAGTTCATTTTCTCCTTCTATTTTCTTTTCTGCTCCCTATCTAGCCAAACAAAAAACACAGTAATTTCTCTTTCTCTTTCTTTTGGATCCAAACATGCCTATTCTTATTTTCATGAAAACAAAACGGGGCCGTGGGGAAGGCTTACCTTCCCTGTTTTTTTTTGAATGCACCTTCCCTGTTGAAAACCATGTCACCTCATTAAATTTATAAAAGAAGAAATTGCATAAATAATCTCTAATTACGGATGATTTTCCATATCTACTGGGTTTGTTGTTATGGTCATTGTTTGGCACAAAACTTTGGAGGAAAAACACATTCATCACTTACAGAATGCAACCGAACACATCATATTGATCAAACAAGAGAGTAAACAAGGTTGCCCAAGCTATAGTTTCGGTTACAGATTGGACGATCTTATTTGTGCAAGACATGATATTGAACAGATGTATGTACACAACCCGTCCGAAAGTTATCATTGCAGCATAAGCGTACCAAAGTATTGCTCAAACTCTTTGTCAATCGTTAGTTTCTTTTTGCCTTCTTCACTTTCTGCATTCAACAACATAAAAAAAGTTCAAGTATTATCATCTTATATTCTTGTTCTTATCCGGGCACTTTTTTATTCTTTGTTTTGAAAGAAAAAGATGAAGAATAGAATCACAATACCTTGCTGGCCTACTTTCCATCTTCCAGATGAGAGAACAAAACTGTTGGGAATCACACCATTAGAGTATAACATGTCTTCCAGTTCTTGTTCGGTTGGCCTTCCCATTTTCTCCTTCTCACATTCTGCGCAAATGCAGTCTACATGATGATGATGATGATCTCCGAATTGCCACCCAAAATCCTGCTCAAGAAAAGCGCACTCGTTTCCGGCGTATAAATCTGGTTTGGTCACACACCTGCTCTCCAATGAGTACAATGCATCCCTTGACCAACCAGAATCCAAGCTGGCTTCTGAAGTGGAAGGACAGTTAGACGAGGAGGGTTTGGTTTCAATGGACATGGCACTATCAAAGTCTTCTGTAATGGTATTACTGTCTTCCCCAGATTCAGTGGTTTCATGTTCACTCTCTGGGATATCCTCAAGTAAAGAACTGTATTTCCTGAGAAAGGTTTGGCAGGCGCATAGATGCTTCGGAAGAGGTAACCCGAATTGCTGGGCTTCGAGTTTTCGTTTCTTGTTCAAGTTTGTGAGGCTGGTTTGTAGAAGAACTGCTGTCATATGATGTTTGCTGCTGCCAGATCTAGCAATTCAAACATTCTTTATTTTAAAAAAATGGTCACAGTTTTGCTGCACTCACCAAGAAAGTGCCAATTTTTAACACTAAACAGAATGAATCATAAAAGTGTTCCACTATATTATTTGTCTATCTATTTTCACTCAGAGAGTTTTAATTAGGGCACCTTATGCACATCTTTTGAATCAGATCAACTCAAGATCTTATTCATCCAAACCAACCCAAATTGAACAAAGTACAGAAAATTGAACCTAACCGGAAGTACCCATCTTACACATAAAGATCCGAATCAAGAATTTGAGAGCTTGGATCACACAGCTCAATCAAAACCATACAAGGATCCAACCTTAGCTTGTCAGAAAACATAAACCAAGCACCTTTTAATTTTCACAAGAACCCATTAATCTTGGGTCAAGAAAATGATGGGAAAAAACAAAAAGAAACCCAAGAAAACGCGTCTACATATCTATATACTGAAAGCAAGAAAAGATCAGATCCATGAGCAAGCAAGAGGAGGAAAGAACGAAAGTTGAGAAAAAGAAAAGAATGGAAAGAGGAACCCAAACCTGTGATCGTGAGTTGGGGAATGAATCATTTCCATACGGTCCATAAATGACGGAGCTATGAAAGATCAAAGATGACTTCGGCGCAGGCAAAGTGAATACTGAAAATCCGGCGGAGGGTGAGAATTTCCGATCTCAGGAAGGAAGAGAAGTAATGGGTTGGTTGCGGTAGACGACGGGGAGAGTGGGATCATCGGCTATGGAGACAGTACTAGGTAGTATTCCCAACTTTATCATTGTCGAACCAGACAAACATTCATGGCTGGCCTGCAACAACCCATATTCGTCTGCGCGTGACTCCCCATTCCCTCTCAGTTGAAAAGAAAAACAGTGGTGTGATATCAAGTTTGACATCTTCTTGGTGGGGTCTAGGGGCTGGTTGAACGAGCCTATATTTCTCACAATTAATTTTTTTGGTCTTGATTTTAAGAAAATTAATTACATAAAGTAAGTGATTACACTAGAATATTTAAATCTTAGTGTTAGACAACTTTTTAAAAATAGCTAATTTGTAGCCACACTGAATCATCGCATACTGATTGGTTAGTACTCCATACTTAGTAAGCATTTGATTGATTTATTCGGTTCCTTACTCAGCATCCGATTTCTAAATCCCAATCGTCTTCTTAGTATATTCAAGCTTTCAAATTGTCGCTAGAAATAAAACATTCACAATTGATTAGATCAAAGAGCAAATCTAGGAGACCAGAAATTCATTAATGGAAAAAACTCCCCATTTCCCCTTCACAAATCACAATGACTTGAACTCAAGACCTTTCTAATGAAGGTCTTATGCCATCTATATCAAGAGAAATAGAGAAGTAAAGGAAGGATTGCCTCTATCTTCTCTCCTTCACCTCATGTTATGTGGATCCAACACATAACTTCTCCATTACTCTTCTTTTCCTACATCAAAAAGATAATGTTTCTATACTAAATTTTCACAATTTTTTAAAAAAATTGAATTGAATGTAATTTGTGTTTGAACTCTTTTTTTTATAAATTTTAGACATCTTAAATTTAAACTGAATGAATTGTACGTGTATTGAAAAAATTAATAAATGTAAAAATAATTTTTAGACATTTTTTATAGGAATTTGTACACATCTTTAAAAGATTTAATGTTCATTCAAAGACATAAAGGGCACACACATATGGAGTATTAATTAATTATTTTTATATTAGAATAATAAAAAAGCTATTTAAAATTATTCGTCAAAATTATTTAAAGCAATTCATGTACAAAAATTAACCATCTCATATTTTTTAAAAATAAAGATAGTGTCCTATGATGCACATAGATAATAGATTGATCATCTCTTCCTAATTTTCTTCATCTCCTTGAAGACTTCTCCTCCTCTTTTCTCCCTAGAAGGATTTATTCTCCTTCTTCTCCTCCCAATGTTCTTACTTCTCCAAGAGAAGCCTATCTTCTTCTCCTTGTGCGGATGCCCTCAAGTATTGGAGGTGGTGACCAAATTGACTGCACCACTTGTTACCAAAAGTTAAATCGACTTATGACAAGGTCTATTTGTGTAAAAAAAGAAACTTATTTGTGGCACGTACGGAGTACATTTTTGTAATGTCCTCTGCAAATGAGTTACTCCTACATCCACAAATCTTCTTTCTATTTTTTTGGTCTGTCTAAAAAATTTCTTTCTATTTCCTTCTTTGACAAATCTTTTAGCTTAAAAACATTATTCTACTTGACTTGAACTGTAATTTATATGCTCGGGTATTATCAAATCACTTGGTTTTTGAGCACTATTAACTTTGTTACAATGTGATATTTGTTTTATGGTGTGTCATATACATGGGGTTTTTCTGATAAAAAGTAAGAACCCTTTATTTAACTACGTTAATATACATGCATTTAGTGTATAAGCCAATTATGACTACGGAGTACATAGTACTATTTTACATAAAAGAATACAGAGTACTCCGTATATATTACTTCCTTAAAATATGCCTCTGACTCTTTGGAGCTTTGGGCAATTGTATGGCTTAAACTGTTCTTTAGATGCCCCGGATTTATTCATATATACTTTCTCAACATACTGAAGAACAAGTCAAAACCTTTATTAAGATTTGAACATTTGACTTCTCATTTGATATAACTAAAATATTCTAGTTCGCCATAATTTAATTTCTTTGTATGGTGTGAATATAATTTGCACCAAGTATAAAATTGCTTAACGAGTAGTGAGCAAAAAGTTTATTTAATGCAAAATTAAAACCTAAAGTGACAAAATTTCCAAAAGGTGTGCAAAAAATGTACTGTCGACCCTAAAAAATGTCATGGTTATTTTAGTTGCCCTAAACAAATGTTTTATTTTACTTAAGGAAAGAAAGGAGTGGTCACATTATATTTCTCTCATATACATAAACCTCTATAAAGTTTTATTTTTTGTACATCATGAAATTCAACCAAGACATTTATTTAAGAACGAAAGAAAATAATAAGTCAAAAAGTATTTAAAATGTGTAAGCTAAGTTTATACCCCTCTATTTTAAAAGCATTATCTATAATTGATCAATTTTTCATATTTGGTCATCTATTATTAAATGTTACGCGTATGGTCCATCTTTGATTTCGAAGAATAGTCTTTTTTACTACTGTCATGTTAGTGTTAATCTGAAAACTACCGTCATGTTGTGTTTTATAAAGTTTTTAATAAGAGTCCCTTTTTTCTATACCCTTTTTTGGTATGGAAAAATTTCCTTAATTTTTATTTTACTCCGTATATCGTAATAAAATTAATAAAGGATGTTAGAGGATATCAACTATTCCTTCTGTCCCTGAGTGTATGTCCACATTTGATTTCATTCGAACAAAATTGGTAAATTTTAATCACAAATTAAATATAAATGATACTCCGTATAAGATAGTGATATAAAAATAATTCTATTACATTTTTTTTATAAAATATTTTCAAAATATTATTTTACCGAGTTAATATACGATATACATTTAATTTAAGGTCAAAAGTTGAAGCAATTAACTACAACAACTCAAAACTAAACAAATAATCAGAAACAAAAGTGATTTGAGGGGAATTATTTGAGTGAGACACAAACCTCCCCCATCAATATTAAGTGGACCATTCTACACTTACACCAAAAAATGTACCTCACTTATACACCACAGTTTTGCACCAACATTTTGATGGTTTACACCGACACAAGTGTTGGTGCGTTAACAAAAATTTACACGAACACAAAAGTTGGTGCATTAACAAAAATTAGTTTTACACAAACACAAAATATTAGTGCAAACCTGGAGGGTGCAAATTAGGATATAAATGTTGTGTTAAACATAGCTTAGTCCATATTACGGAGTAAGTAATTGCATTGCCACGCGTCAAATAATGATGAAGCGGGAGCAGGAAATAATGTAAAGGAATGCAAAAATCTATAAGAAATCTTCCCTCAAGCGGAGAATGTGTACGCTTTTCGGGCAGAAGGTCGGGATCTGGTGTGGTGACTGACCATGACAGGCCCGCGTGCAGCCCACGAGCAATACTCCTCCGTGGCGGGAAATCATTGGGCTTAAATTGCTGGGCACGTGCTCTTTCTCCGTGGCCCGCCCCCATATTTGCTACCCAATTATTTTGGCCTTTTATTCCGTTAATTACTTAACTCTACCCAGTACGGCCTAATTTACTTCTTTTTAAGTTTCGCACCCCATTTGTCCCTGCAACTTGGACCCTGGTTTTTGAATTCCAAAGATTTCTTCTTCTTCTTTTTTTTGTAAAATTTAAAAAATAAAATTGAATCACGAAATATTAATTTTAAAAAATGTTAAGGTCACTCCCCCTTTCACCCAACCTTTTACCTTATTTTTCTCACTAACATTCGACAAATTATGGTCTTTATAATCTGTTAGGGCCACAATCACAAGCTTGAACTTCTTGTTGAATTGATTGCTTGACATGGTATCAGAGTCTTGTTAACTAAGAGGTCACAGATTCAAAATTCAGTGCCACCCAGTTTTAAGAAAATTAAAAATTTCACGTGCAAAGCCTGAAAAAGACTATGCCTGCACATGATGGGACGTGTTAGAATATAAATAATTCTTCTTAGGCCACAACCACGAGCTTGAGCTTCTGGTTGAATTGGTTACTTGACATAATTGTACACTTGTCATTGTTTTGGTGATGTTATGACCGTTCGGCCTATTTTGAAATACTCTCAGAGATGAGATTCATTTTTTTTGTATTGGTATTGTCTTGTTGAAAGTATTAGAGTACACTTTTGTGAGGTCATAAGATTACAGGATCATTTTTAACAAAAAAAGAACTATGACATTGGAATATTTTGTACATATATTGTTAAAATTCACATTTCCGGCACAAGCAATATATGGCCTAAATCCTAAATATATTTTTCTGGTATCTTTCTTTTTCCCAAACGTTAGCTGTCTGTCTACCCAACAACACAAACACATCTCTTACAATTTGCAATACATTTATACAGAAGCCGCATCCTCTTTCTTACATCTCCCCAATGCATGCCCAAACATACCCAAGAAACCCACAATTCCATTCATACACACACACACACATATATATATGTATGTATGTATATGTCAGTCTTTTTTACGGAACATTTCCAGAAATGCCCTCGATTCGCATCCCATGGCAAACTTACTGTGAGGTAGTTGTCAAGGCTATTTTATCGTCGTATGAGGTGCGGAAGCGAAGGCCAGAACCAATGTGTCCTGCTGTGGGTAATATCCAGCAAAGGACGTTAGGACCTAAAACCTGCCACGCAAGGGTAAACTATTGAAGCCATAATAGTGTATGGGTTTGATCAAACAAGGACACAAGTTTACACTTCTAGAAAAGTTGCCTAACCAAACAGGCTCTTAGCTAGATGCTGCAAAGTTGGTGTTTCATTAACAATGATGATTCAAGGACAAGATAATGCAACTTCTTACCGATATTATATTCTCATATGCACCGAGATCATAAGGATGTGAATAGAGATGGCCCCCTTTTTCAGCAAGAGCTCTTACACCTTCATGATACTGTTGAATTAATGTAGCATAAAAAAGGAGTAACTTTTAGAAATCTAAAAACAGACCATATTAGAAACATCCCAAAACACAACAACCAAGTAAAACCGCACGAACGGGGTTGAGAGGTTGTTTGATACAAGTAAAATCCCATGGTGGGTGTATGCAGGCATTACCCCTACCCCAAAAGGTAGAGAGGTTGTTTAAGACAACCACAACAACAACAAACCCACTATTATCCCAACTATGTTGGGATTGGGGTCAAGATGTTGACAATCTTACCCCTGTAAGAAATAGAGTGGTTGTTTCTGTTAGACCCTTGAGCCCTTGACAGATTGATGCATTTATTGCCCAATACATTAAACAATAGAACCTCCTATCAACGAACCTCAATTGTTGTCTTGTTTTGCAAGATAAGGTAGGTATGCCACCCAAGAAAAAATGTCAATGCTAAGCTTAATGGAACCAATAAAAGGCCTGCAATAATCTGGTAGAAGGAAATAGTTAATGACCAAATTGCGCATAAGGATGGGATAAAAAAGAATTGGATCAGACATTACGTATACAGTTTTGTGAGACCGTTCATTACGATGCTGCTGGTCCAGTTCAGATTCCATAGCTAGGCTACCCACTAGTAGAACCTTGAAAACAATGACATGTAGGATACACAATAAAAAACAAACAAAGAGGATGGACTAGAGGGTAAAAGAGAAAAAGAGAGACATTCCATATGGATTGCTTCCTTACCAGGGAATATAGGCACGCAAGAACGGCATAGACAACAAAAACAAAGAAGACCTTATAGTTTGCATGGCCCACACAATTATTCATCCACACACAATGATGGTCCTTCAATTCATCAATAGGCAGCACTATAAAACATTCTCAAAGAAATCAAGTATTGGACTTTATGAAACTAGACCAAAGTCGTACCATCCGCAAAACACATCTGTTACATGCATGGCAATGATGTGCGCGAGGAGGCTTATAAGTGAAGCACTTCTGGCAGTATCTCAAATCCCCACCCTGCAAACAACATCACAGTAAAAACTAAAAAGAAATACTCCCTCTGTCCCAAAAACTTTTTATCTACCAAAAAAGTACAATTTGATCAAACGAAGCTATTTGCATGTAATTCACCAAAAATACGGACGAACAATACATGTAGTACATGATAGATATGATAAATCTAGCTAACAACCAATAAATATAAGATGTATGAGTATGATTTATGACAGTTGTACCTTGTACTTTACCATAATTTAAAAGGTGTACATTTTTAGTTTATGGGATCAAGGTTTTAAGAAAATTACATCATGACCACTAGAGGCCAGTTGGTTCCATTGAATTTATACTTACATACAAGGAAGAAGATTTCCTTGCAATGCACTGAATTTGTGCTAAAAGTGAAGTTGAGGATGTAAGTTTCACAATAAGGTGGAGAAATTGTATATTTAAGGTTCCAGAAGCATTAGAATACCAGCATACACATAGGATTTAAGAAAGGAAAAAGTATCAATTTAAGACTCTCAAGTATGCCCTTGATATTTGGTAGCAAGAGCAAAATAAGCAAATGAACTAACAAAATGTGCATTTAACTTTAAATTCCATTGGAACAATATAAAAAACCCTTTCATAAACAAGAGTTTGTCGAGCTGCAATTAACAGTTTCACGGCCTTCAAGTATTTATTACATATTAGCAATCTACACCACAAATTCTGAAAGATCAATCATGTAGGCTTTATCTTTCAAGATCCACTTTCACTCTGCTCCAGATGTGTGATGGCTCCAGATATTCATCCTTCAAATCATTTATCAGCCATGTAAGTGTTTTTAATTATTGAACCAGGAGAAAGAAGATCTGAAGTTAGGGCTCGCCAGTTGCGAAAATGATAATTACAAATAGAGAGAGAGAGAAAGCTTCCGTTCTAGAATTCTCCGTAATGGCTTAAGCGAGTTGTAAAATTGGAAATTTTGAATTGTGAATTTTTTGTTCTGCAAACAACTGGAATCTGGTACTCATGAAAAAGGAAACTTCTCTGTTCTAGAATTCTCTCCAATGAAGAAGGCACGCCGGGATTTGGAAATGAATAAGCCGTCTCACGTTTTCGGAGGTTTAGATCTAGTTTTGTAAAAACTAACAGCGTGAATAACATAAATACACGCCCGTCTACCAAAAGAGGATTTTCGGATCGTTTCAATGGATATAAAGTTAAATGCATCTAATTGTGAATTCAGACGCTGATCTGCTCCCTCCATCCAAAAATCATGGAATATTTCAGACTTTCCCCTTTAAGAAATAACGAATGCAGACATGTCATGTTTAAGATGTTTCATTAGCCGACAAAATTGGAAAGAAAAAATCCAAAAGAATGACATGTGACTAATTATGAAGTTTTCAAGTGCCTTGAATAACTCAGTATACTTTAATTTCAAATTTGAGAGATCAAGAGAACTAAAAGGCAAAAGGAGAACATCACTTAGGATTTGTATGGCAGTTGGGTATTGGAGAGGAAGGGGAGGGAGTATTTATTTTCAGTTGTTACAAAATAGTGCTTGAGGGGTAAGGTCTATGTATGTTTCTTTCTTCTCTCTTCTCTCATTACTCACACTTCGTTAGTGTTACTGTGGTTTGTTTTCCCGTACTTCAGTATTTGATTTGGGGGTCTCTTGGAAACCATCTCTCTACTCCCAAATAGGGGTGAGGTCTGCATACACTCACTCCCTAGACCCTACTTTTTGTGGGATTCTACTAGGGTTGTTTTTGTTGTAGTACAAGATATTTCTTAAAAGGATATAAAACAATAAATTAGAATAAACTAAGTATATTATATGTTTGTTTATTAATAAACCATATATAATTCTTTTAATTTCAAAATGTAAAAACAATGCATCCCCCTCACATCCCTTCTGAAATCCAACTCACAAACACATCCTTACGAGATGTACTACTGCATCTTATGTATGTACCAAAGCCCTCTATATATGGAATGCACACAATGTCGTTAAAGATAACGGCATCATAAAAATAGACACTAATGACACATAAAATTTGCACAATCTTCTCATGCATTGTCACCATGTCCCTAGTTATATCAGACAAATCAAAACCTGATGAAAGCTAATTGAAGTTTTGGCCTGCCAAAACCAAAATGTTCTCACTCAACTAAATGAAGCACTCAATCATCAAAACAATGGATGAATTTTGAAGCCGATGTTTTAATTTATCCCTTAATAAAATTGATACGGAGAATTCAACCATAAAATCTATCTTTTCCGTGTTCATTCTATTCTAGCTTGCTCATATCAGCATAATGAAGGACTGAAGACAAAGCAGAAAACACAAAATAATCAAAGGCTAATTAAACATTTAGCACAGAAAGAGGGACAAAAAAATTAGACCTTGCGCTTGATCTCATGGATTGTGTTGTCAGGGCCTTCAATGTCGGGTAAGAATGAGGCTGGGACCCGACCTGGATCAGTGTATATGGCAAGGCCATAGTTGGAAATGCAGAGAATAGAAACGACGGTGAACGCAAAGGCGTTAATCATCCCCGGCGAGGACCCGAGACCGAACCACCGGTCTATGAATACAAACAGCGTCGACCAGTAAATGAAAATGATGGCGGATACGACGACGGCGACGTGGAGAGAGACCTTGCATCCACGTTCCATTTTCATTTCGATCGAAATTCTGCAAGTCCAAGTAGACGGCCCCAGCGGCGGTGGGAGACCCCGGCGTAAGCAGTGTTACGACGGCGCCCCCGGCGAGATGGGTCGGGTGGGATCTAGAAAGAGTGCAAAGTGGGTTCGGTAACTATTTTTAAGTAGGCCTTGTGTTGTTAATTGTTATGATGATCATTTCTTCCAGGTTCAACCACACTTCTCCCCATGAATACACCACTTTGTGTTCCTCTTAAGATTGGGCATTTTAACCCGGCTAAAATCTACTCCAAATTTCAAAAATTCATAAATAGTCTTTCAAAAACTCATTAATTTTCCAAATGCAGTCCTTTTCACAGTAAAAGCTAAATGGAGTACTAACTTAATATATATAACTTCCGACTTGTAACGGGTGCCACATGCAACTAGCTTTATATATATAACTTCCGCCTCAGTGTCAGATGCAACTTTCAACCTGCAATGGGTGTCTAGTGCTGGCCCCGTCTTCTGAGCAGCGGAGTGGGTCTTTTCCTCCTATTGTAAATGTTGGGGATAATTTTACTTTCAAAGGGGTTAAATTTGTATAGTATAGAATACAAAATTTTGATTGGAATTGTAGAAACCCATTAATTCCGTATACGTCAAAAAATAATCACTTACATATAGGTAGAAGTACTTCGTATTTTATATATATATATATATATATATATATATATATATATATATATATATATATATATATATATATACATATATATATATATATATATATTGACTCCAGTAAGATGACACCTTACGTTGAGATGACATGCTACGGTTAGATGACGCGAAGCTCACCACTGCCAACTGCAAAGCTCACTAAAGAAAACTACAAAGACCACCAAATTGTAAGGCAAAGCTCGCCATATTTTTTCAACACTTTGAATTTTTTTTTGAAAACATACAATCAAAGAAAGGGGTGCTGACTAGACTTTGACCGTTGACTGAGACCTTTGACCGGCGCCGCAGGCCACAACCGGTCGCCGTAATCTGCCACCGGCCACCGCTGATCGCCGGAATCTGCCGCCGCCGGTCGCCTGAATCCGTTACCGGAATCTGCCGCTTCTACGTCGTCGGTCGCCGGAATCTGCTGCCGCTCCGCTGCCGATCGTCGGAATCTGCTGCCGGTCACTGGTAACTGCCGCCGCCGCTGACCGGTGGTTGACCGGTGTTGCTACTTTATTTTTTATTAATTTTTAATTTTCAAAATTAAAAAAAGGTGATTTTTTTGTTCAAAGTGGTGAGCTTTACTTTATTTCTAGATAAGTTTTGCATTGTCCAATGGTAAGCTTTGTAGTGTAGTGTGGTGAGGTTTGCGTCATCTCACCGAAGCATGTCATCTCACCATAAGGTGTCATCTCACTGGAGTCAATCACACACACACACAATATATATATATATATATATATATATATATATATATATATATATATATATATATATATATATATATATATATATATATATATGGAAGACTTGTCGTGCGGTCCAAATATATATATATATATATATATATATATATATATATATATATATATATATATATATGGGAATATATATATATATGTGTGTGTGTGTGTGTGAAAATAATAATCATTTTATCTTTTAACGTGTACCACAAAAAAAACTACATTTGGAGGATTGATGAATGCTTAAATGACTGCTTATGGAGTTTTGAAATTTGAAGAATGGCATATGGAGGGTTATTAATACTTAAAGGTGTTGAAGACTTGTCGTGCGGTCCAAAACAAATTAAAAAAATATAAATAACCTTAACTAACTCCCAAAATATAATCAAACAAAAACTATAGCTAAGGCAAGTAAGGGTCGATCCCACGAAGAAATGTTGTACCTTTTAAATCCAATTTAGTATGTTAACACGTTGTCACGAAAATAAATATAAAAGTAAAACTAAATACTGCACAAAAGATAACACTTATAAAACTTATAACTGAACTTATTATAAAAATAAACATTAAAACTTATAAATAACTTATATAACAAAGAACTTAAAATATAACTTAAACACAACACAAAGGGAGGGGTTTGAATAAAAAGTAAATATTTTTTGGTTTTTAATATTTTCTTATTTTTTTGGTTTTTTAATAAAAATGGGGGGAAACAAGCTCAATAGATTATCAACTTCTCCAACTAAGGTAACCCAATAAACACCGCCAAGAACCCAAAACAAAATGCAAAAGAGAACAAAAACAAATTGAACATTACATGTATGATAGACACGTAAATAATATATTACGTAATTTACGCACTTAAAAATAGAAAAGAATTCAAAGGCTCGAGCTGATTCATATCCTTGACCACATATAGAAGATCGTCAACTCTCTATAAGGCCCGGAGTCAAGAATTCCAAGGCCTTTTGGTTACTTTGAACCCCCACTCACATCAAGCGCTCAAACAATGATTCCAAAAGATGAAAAAGTTTATAAAAGAGCGAATTTTTCTTTCATTCTAACTCTCATGCACAAAGTATTCATGAAGAACATTGGATACACTTTAATAAACTTTAACGTCTAATGATGAAAATATTTTGCAGGTCTCCTTGTACAACTGAAGCATAAGAATTTTAATCTATTCACATAAAAGAATATTACATATTTTCATTAAATCAAGAGTTGTTTATTGCGCGTAAACAATCCCAATTTTTATGAAAATAACAAACAAGAACACCAAGACATAAACAATCACTTTATAACGAATCTTAAGGAAAACGTTCAACTTATGTGGCTAAGAAGTTCATTTATCTTAAAATTTTACAAAACACAAGTCACAAAAAAGATTCACGTATGAATTCAAGAATCATTTAACTAAAATATGTAGCTAAATTAGTTTCATTGATAACCGAATTCGACATACCAACCAATAGCTAAATTACTTATGAATTCAAATTTACAATTCAACCAATTTAACATCAATTTGCGCAAAAATTGAAGAAACTAGTAAGAATCAATTTTCATTCATAAGGGATTTAATATAAACATTCAAAAAAGAACATACAAGAAAAATGAACAAAAACATTTTTTTTTAATTTTCAATTTGTTTAACAGGAACAAGCTTACATAAAGCAACACTTTAACAAAGAAATCTACAAGAGAGGGAAAAAAACAAGGATGACTTCCGGATTAATTCCGGAAGCCATTTTATTTGGTTACCTAAAAGAAGAAGATGAAGAATTTCAAAAATTGGCGTTGTTGTGGTTCGTCTCCCCCCCCCCCCCTTTTTCCGATTGCAATTCATCTCCCATTTATAGCAATAGGATTCTTCCCGTTGGAGCGTTTGAGTGAGTGGAGAGTGCCGTTGCTATTGATTGAGGCGAAACTGACGGAGGAACGTTGAGGAAGACAAGCGTTGGTTTATCGCGAAGAAGAAGTCGTAGACTTCAATTCTCTGTTCTTTTTTTTCCTTTCTTGCGTGAAGACAAAGTGAGATGATTGGGAGGCTGATTCTCTATTATGTTGGTTTTGGGCTCTGGCCCAAAATCAATCTCTTCTTCAAACTTGAACTTCCATTCGGCCTTTTGCTGTAATTTTCTCCAAAAATAAGATATCTGATAATTTGGGTTAGGAAAAATAAAATAAAAATAATATAATGTAAAAAAATGATTAAAAAAATACAATTTTTGAAAGAAAATAAAAAGAATTTTAAAAATAAGAATTTAAATAAAACTAAGCTAAACAACTAAAAATTAAACTCTAAAAATATTAAAAATGCCTAAAATTGATTAAAAAGTACTAACCCAAACCCGACTTATCAAAAGGACTATTTATGGATTTTTAAAACTTGAAGGACCAATCATGCAGAGCTCATAAAGTTGAAGGGCCAATCGTGAATTTTATCCTTTTAACCAAACCGGTTGATAAATCGAAACTAGAAAACTGATCTCATCAAAAAGTTTGGTTTCGGCTTCATTTAACAGGTCATTTTTTGTTCCGATCTTTAACAAGTACTCCGTCTGTTTCTTAAAGCACGTCCTTTTTCATTTTCTCCAAAACACTTCTACTTTCTATTAAAAATCTACTGTTATCCCTACTTTTGCTTACCCTACATATACATCATACTTTTTCACTAATAATCTATCCATTACATCGTATTTTTTATCCATTACATCAAGGGTAAAAATTGGAAATTCAACCATAAATATACATTCCGTATTTTGGCTGAAAGTCAAAATATGAATGATTTATTGAAACGGAAGGAGTATAACGGAAAGAAAATTCGAGCCCATTATATATAAGAGTAATAATTTGAATGTTTGTAAGCCCAATCCAACTTAACCCAGCCCAAAAGCTTGTCCAAGTTAAATTGAATTTCTGTTAGGATCTCTTCATTTGAGTTAAAAAAAAGTTAACTCCCAACATTTTTGAATGCATTCTAATTTTTTTAAAGTAAAATCTCAAAATGGTACTCAATAACTTTGTTTTTTCCCAAATTAATCTCTAAGATGAATTAATTACCAAAATGATACTCGTTAATTGAAAATGATGCCAATTTAGTCTCCTGACTAACCACCATAAAAATAGAGTCAAAACGACATTAAAACTTATACCTCGTAGTACTTATTTTCTAAAATGATCATTTTTAATCATTTTTTTCAAATTAGTCAATTTTTGAAATAAAATCTCATAAAAAATGGTCTCCTGACTTTGCTCAAACTTTGTGAATCAATTGAAAGGGAAGAATCATGCTTCAGTTTTTCATATTAAACGAGTTTTTACATCGAGAATAGACTAATTTTAAAAAACATTCAATTATATATGATCAATTTGAAAAATTAGTATAAGTTTTAATGTCGTTTTGACACTGTTTTGATGACCATTAGTCGAAGAGACTAAATCGGGCATCTCGGTAATTAGTTCATCTTGAAGACTAATTTAATTAGGAAAACATATAGCTATTGAGTAATATTTTGGAAATTTACTCTTTTTTTAACTTTTTCCAGTTTCTTTTAAATCATTCATGTTTTTCAAACAACGAATGAAAAAAAGATATATTCTTTTTTATTCAAAATTATTTTTCCTACATATTTATTTTGTTGATTATTAAAATGGGTGATTTTTTAGCACCTTATTTTTTTTTCTTTTCCAAC